GGATGGTGGCAAGACATGTTGGTGACTACCGTGAAAATGGTGGCACGCTGCTGCAGACGGTGATGGTGAGCGTGCAAGGGTGAGGGTGAGAGTGAGGGTGAAGAAGATGATGATGACAGCGATCAAGGTAGTGCCGTGGTGATTCATAGTATTGACGATGCTGATCACGACGACGGTTCCAAGGGTGACAGTGATGCGGACACCGCGCAGGAAAGGGAAGCCAGGTGAGGACAACGTCAAGAAAGCAATACCACAAGAAACAATGAAGAGGTACACCACAACAGTACCGGCTCAACAAAATGCAGCATGAAGAATGTGAGAAAAGCTTAAAACACAAGCATCTGGCAGGTGGAACTCAAACCTTACGTTTACACTTTTGTTGGAGTATCTGCGGGTTTCGGCGGCTAGGAGGAAGCGGAGGAGGAGCCATGGTCTTCCCAACCCACCAACCCTGAGTCACAGAATCGCCACCCTCAGCCCCGTGGAGTAACCCTTGCAGCAATCTTAGCAACGGCAACCCTGATCGTAAAAACTCTTATAGACCCAACAACTTCCACAGGGTGCAGCACTTGTAGGCTTTTCAGGAAGACAAGGAACCCAAACATAGGACACTATCGTAGCAAGATCCGCACTAGGACTATGAGGCTTTGGGTCTCAATATCACTACGGACCCATAAGCGCAGTACCCCTCGTTTCGGAAGCCATCAGGGTTTAGTTTTTTTGGGGTTTAGGGATTGACCCTAAACCCTAAACCCCATGTTCTTCAGGGCCCCCGTGCACCAGCCGCCCTCGAAGTACTTCAGCTTCGACCTCGCCGCAAGCAGCCGTCAAGAAGAATGGACTTGAGTCCTGTGAAAGCTCCTTTCAACACTTTGCTGGTTGTTAAGGGTTTTGCTCCTAAGCTTTAGGGTCTAGGGTTCCTTTGAAGGTTCCTACACGGAACTATGAGCATGGAGGTTAATTTAAGGTTTCAGTTTAGGGTGGTTTGAGGGTTTCAGAGAGACCGTGTAGGGGTTCAGGGTTTGAGGCTTCAGGGTTTCAGGGTTTAGGGGTTCAAGGCTTCAGGCTCCGGGCTTTTCGGGTTCAGAGTTTAGGGTTTAGGGTTCAGGTCTGCTTGGAGGCCCTTTTGACTTAGTAAGTCTACTTAGTATCCCCTAGAAACCCTATTATAAGCCCCATAACCCACCTTACTAACCCTACTTACTAAGTCAAAAGGGCCTCCAAGTGAGGGTTCAGGGTTCCGAGTTTCGGGTATAGGGTCTGGTTTTTTCAATGCACTAGCCAGTGTTTAGGGTTTAGGGTTCAGCTCCTGGGTTATTCGGCCCACGTGCAAAGACACGGTCCTTTCATGGTAGACTATTATGAACCAGATGTGCCCTCTAACAACTGGAGGGACTCAGATGTAGCTCTTTCAAATTCAGCTCATATTCCTCAGGGTGTAGGGTTTCATCCGGGCCCTACTAAACCCCCAAATCAACTAAACCCCGCAAAGGATCTCAAGTGTAAGCGTCGAGAGGCAGGCCCCAAGCGCCCACGATGAGATCCATAAGACCTTCAGATGAGTGCTTGTCTTACCTTTAGTTAGTAGGGAATGGAGGAATGGGGTACAAATATAACTACTATTACTACCATTCTTCCATTCCCTACTAACCAAAGGTAAGTTGCAGGGGTTACGATGTACGGTTACGTCTCTCACTCTCGCACGCGGCAGGCAAGGCTCACAGTTTAGGGTTTCGGATTTGGGGTTTAGAGCTTAGGGTTTAAGGCTTAGGGCTTAAGAATTAGGGTTAGGGCCTAGGGAAAAGGGACTATTGGGGGGATCAGATCAACCCACCCCCAAATTCGCGCCAAATTAAGGTTCATGCCATCGTCATTCCAGTCGGTCAAAAGGAAGCCGGCAACCAGGTCATCCTGCCAAGCCCCCAAGGCGCAAGATGTGCAGAGTGTAGGCTTCAGGTCGGGAGTTTCAGCATATTGTGTGTTTCTTCATTATTGCTGTTATTGCTATTCTTCCTCTTATTACCTTTATGACTATTTAATAATAGTTATTACTATGATTGCTAGTTTTACCAAGGTGAATGACTTGTGCTAGCAGATTCTCGTTGCTAATCCTTCTTCTGCAGCTGCTACTGATTCTCCTCCTGCTGCTGGTCCTGCTGTTGAACACCTTTGCTGCCGAGGCTGCCGATGCACTTTGCTACTTTTGTCAGACCACTTCTTAATAATGGCTGCCTTGCTGCTGCGCCTGCACTTTGCACTATCATAGAAGTTGTCAACTGTCTGTGCGCAGTCGTTGCTCCGAATTACTTTCCTTCCGGCCGATTCAGGAAGCATGCTCGACTTCTTCAAAACCCACGCGTTTTGATGGTGATAATGATGTGGTAAGGTGGCATGCCATGTTTGCGAGGACTGACTGAAGTGCACGCAGTTTAACGCTCCCCCGTGTCTGACGGCCTTGGGAATTCTAAAGAAGAGACGTAAGAGCTCCTCCAAACTCCTAAAGCCACAGTAAGCCCGAACCTTAAAATCCTGAACCCTTGAACCCCCTTTTGGCAACAGGCTTTCCACTTCGCCCGGAGTCCCCCAAACCCCAAACCCTAAGCCGTCAAATCCCTAAGTTTCCGAACCTAAGCTCTAAACCCTCCTCGATTCCGTTCCGAAGGTCGACTTCCGAGAACGGGCTGTCGGTGCCCAGGCGCTCGACGAGCACTCCTGGAGGGCAGCGATGATAGAATAGTAATAATAGTAGTAATAATAATAGTAGTAATGCTAGTAATAATAATAATAATCGTAAACATAATAATAATAATGATAACAACACTAATAAACTCATCATAATAATAGTAATGAATTACTAATAACAATAATAGGAATAGTAATAATAACAATAATAGTCATAATAGTAATAGTAATAATAGTAATAATAGTAATAATAGTAATAAAAGTAAAAATAATAATAATAATAGTAATAATAGTAATAATAGTAATAATAGTAATAATAGTAATAATAATAATAGTAATAATACTAATAATAATAATAATAGTAATAATAGTAATAAAAGTAATAATAGTAATAATAATAATAGTAATAATAATAATAGTAATAATAGTAATAATAATAATAATAATAGTAATAATAGTAATAATAATATCATAAGTTCTAATAGTCATTAATATAATATAGTCATCAAAATCATAAGAGTCATATATAGTCATAATAGTAACAATAGTATGATAGGAACAATAATAGTAGAAGTAATAGTAATAATAGTAATAATAGTAAAAAATAATAATAATATTATATAATAGTATAATAAATATTAATTAATAATAGTAATAATAATAATAGCAATAATAGTAATAATAATAATGATAGTAATAAACAAATATAATAACAAATAATAATAACAATATTAGCAATAGCGATAGTAGGAATAATAATAAAAATAAAAATAATAATAATAATAATAATAATAATAATAATAATAATAATAATATTAGCAATAGCGATAGTAGGAATAATAATAAAAATAAAACAATAATAATAATAATAACAATCATATTAGCAATAGCGATAGTAGGAATAATAATAAAAATAATAATAATAGCAATAGCGATAGTAGGAATAATAATAAAAATAAAACAATAATAATAATAATAATATTAGCAATAGCGATAGTAGGAATAATAATAAAAATAATAATAATAATAACAGTAATAATAATAATAATATTAGCAATAGCGATAGTAGGAATAATAATAAAAAAATAATAACAACATTATTACTATTATTAATAATATTAATACTATTAATGATCTTTGGTTTAGGGTTTAAGGTTCAGGATTTAGGGCGCAGGGCACTCCAGGGTTTCTAGGGTTGCAGAAGGCTCGTGTTTTTTCTCGAGGGTTTCATGGAGCTTTATAGGGGCTATCCAAAAGGCTTGATGAGAAGCTGTGTTTCATCTGCTCGCGTTCCCACCTTAAGTTTAGGGATTCAGGATTAATTTCTGCGGCTAAAGCAACCCAGGCTACTACTCGGATCCTCAGCCAGAACAGCAGGGTGTAGGACTTAGGGTTTAGGACTTGGAGTGTAGGGTTTATGGTTTCGGGATGTTTCGGGTTTAGGATTTGGGTGTGGGGTTTAGGGTTTAGGGTTGAGGATTTGGGGCGTAGGATCTAGGCTTTACCGACTACCCGGAGGTCCTTTCACCCGCTCTTGGTAATCGATGTTCCCGTGGTGGAAGATCGTCACCCTGCGACAGAAACCGAGGCAATGGGGCCTCGGGGCTGGGGGTTAGAGCTTAAGAGCCGAAGCAAGTGCTAGTCGTAGTGGTAGTAGTAGTAGTAGTAGTAGTAGTAGTGGTAGTGGTAGTGGTAGTGGTAGCAGCAGCAGCAGCAGTAGTTGATGTAGTAGTGGTAGCAGTAGGAGTAGTCGTCGTCACGTGGGTGAAGGTCTCACACTCAAAAGTATCCTGGAAAGCTTTGCTCGGACAGGGGATTCGAAGTCACTTTTCCGGCAGGCATGATCATGTCGCCCGGCAGACATGCACAGTGTAAGCTAGCTGCTAGCTTCAAAGAGCCTGGCCATCAGTGCAACATCCACCCCATGCACATGTGCACCGTGTGGCAGAGAACAGTCTCAAACACAGGCTAGCCGTTGCAAATCTTCCACCCAAAGTCGGATCACTAGCACTGGATTCCATACCTTCGAGATCCTTCGAGACTGGACGTGCCGCTTTGGCAAGGGTGCCGTCCCCCTGCGCCATGAGACGTCTGAATTCCTGCCATTAAACGGCAGCTAGACAATGCACCTGAGCCCCTCGGCAAAGGTCCAGGCGACTGCTAGAAGCTCGCTTGGCTTCACACCTGGAGATGCAGAGAGTTCTGTACAAGCGGGGGCCACGCCCGGACGCGCTGCGGGGTCGCAAGAGTGCTACGCAGCCCCGGCGAACCGGAAGCATTGGCCTCCACCAAAGGATCATGGTAGGTATCGTCCGACTTTAGACAGACAACACGGCTGTATAGGTACCGAATGCAAAGAAGAAGATCCCCAAGGAGAGCACCAGCAAGCAGAGCTGGGTCTCAGCCTTGCACCAGCAGAAGCTTGGAGAGCGGCGTCGGACCTGGAGAAGCCAAATTGGTGGCACAATGAAGGCAATGTAGGCCGATGCAAAGGACCCCACAAACTGCAGCACTGTCCTCAGGTCTTTGACGACCACTGCAATGAAGATGACCACAGCCACGCTGAGGAGGGCGAAGAAGATATCGAACCACCTGGTCACAGTTTTGCCACAAACAACCTTGTCCTCCTTCTCAGTATTGGCGCCTCGCTTGCGAATGCGTCGCACGAGATAAGCAGCGAACTGACGCACCGGGTAGACATGGAACTGGAAGCATGTGAGCACGCTGAGCATCAGGCCTAACATGCTCAGCACCACAAATGGGTTCCGTCCCGCCGGCTTCAAGGAGTTCACCAGCGAATCTTTCTGGTGATCTCCAATGCCGAAAGCAAGCACGCCGAACACAGACGTGAAGATGTAGACTGCGAAGCACATGATCAGGCAGATGACTGCCGCTGTGTGCATGCGCATCGTCGAGGGTTCCGGCTTCATCTCCCCGGTAAGTTGGGGCACATTGAACTGATTGGTGTAGGCAAAGACGACATTGTTGATGTCTGACATGTAGGTGAAGACCGTGGCCGTGGAGGAGAAAAACACATCGTCTGGGGTGACAATGGTCTCATCTGCTCCGTGTTCGGCATAGTACCTCATGACACAGGCGACCAACATGAGAAGAGCAGCCATGCTCCCTGCAGCTAGGTGCCGCATGCAGCTGACATGCCTGGCGATGGCCAATGGAGCACAAACAAAGACGCCCGTGAGCACGACAAACAGCTTGCAGTGAGGCTCTGATGCACCAGTGACGACTCCAAAAAGTTGCCCGCAAATGATGAGGTAGCCAACCGCAGAACCGATGCAATTCAATGTGTTCATGAAACCGGTCAAGAGGGCCATCACAGGGTGGAGCAACTCGTCGCACAAGTCTTCGTAGCTGGAGCAGCCTGTCGCGATGCAGGCCGTGGCGATGAAGCGAATGCTCGCAAGTGTCAGAACGGCTCCTCCGATCAGCGCGGAGGTTTGGAACACGAGGCCCACCTCCGCCGCGTGCCCGGCCATGGTCAAAACTCCTGCGCCGATGGCAGCCTTGCTAAGGCAAACGGCTGTGGGCAGGACTGCTCCATGGCTAAACATGGAGAAGCTTCGGACACCAGAGTGCTTCCCCGAGGCAGGGGAGAAGTCAGCGCTTATGGCGTAGGTCGACACATCGCTCTTGCCCTCCGGACTGCTCTCCTTTACCTCCTGCACCAAGTCTTCGACCTGAACCGCGGCTGCGGCCATGCTGTCAGAAAGCACTGAGGAAATGCACGGAGAAGACTGATGGCGGTGATCGCTGACTGCTGGTTGCTTGAGCCGTCGTCCATCACAGTGCTCCACCACAAAATTTCGGGCCTCCATGGGAGTTTCCGGAAATAGGGGACCCTCATAGAGCACCCTAAATAGTAGGATCCTTATTATAAGGAACCCCAAAATAAGGTACCCCCAATCTTCGGAAACTCCCCCACATGTGAAGACAAAGTCGGGAGGAGGCCGCTTTTTGCCCGCTTTCCGAAGCATTGGGTACAGCCGGCCTGTCCACTTCGCCATCGCCGTTGAAATCCACTTCTTGCGGCTTGCCTCACTTGTGTGTATGGACCCTAAACCCTTAACCCCTGGGTCAAGGGTGGTTGAGGATTTTGTTTTTACAGTTTGGGGACAGTTTCACGAGAGAGGCTCGGGAGTTTATACGCAGGTTCGCGCTAGCAGTTACTCATTTGCATTGCGATTCCGACTGGAGGTCTACTTTTATTCGCGCCATTTCTTACTCTCGCTCCTGACTGTTGCTGCTACCACAACGACTACTACCGCAAAGATGGCAACTATCTCCCACTTTACCACCACCGCCAGCAGTGGACCACCGCCCCTTCCCCAGCCACCGCCACCGCCACCACCAGCACCAACACCAGTGCCGACATTTCTGCTTCCAGTGACAATACTGTTTGTTGGCGTCATCACCACTACTACTGCCAGCACAGAAGCTGTTTTCTTGCATTGGATATACTATAGGGGCCTGAGTAATTACCTATACTGTTTTGTGAGCTCCTTATTTCAATTAGAGCATCATGGGCCCCAAAACCCTATTAAAATGATGAAGGATGCTAGTTTTGTTCGTTCTGCTGTATCGCGTATTTCTAGCATGAGGCACTGACCTGTGGGGGCGTGGGACGGCGACCGCGGAAACTGAGACTGTCTGGTATGAGCCCAAAACTGAAGAAAGCCGACTACCCAGACCTTCCAAAATCCCTTAACACCAACCTGAAGGAACAAGCCCCAGACCGCAAGACCCTCGGCCCCACCGGCACGTTCGGCCTCTCTGCTCATACTGCTTTTGTTGCACGGCTGCACAGATTAAGTTTCAGGTGTTTTTGTCGGGGGCCTGGTGCCTTAATAAAGGAATATAACTTAAGTTATGATTGGATCACTAATATGAACTGAGGTCTATTCCTCAATTTTTGAACTTTGGAAGGTCTGGGTAGCAACGGCCAAAATGCTAGAAGTTAAGGTAACACTAGCACTCGCAGCAGCGATATTGAATCACAGCGACACTGAAAGTCGCACGAGCAGACATAGAAACACCGCCAAAGTTCATGGCGCTGCTTGTACTCCTAAAAGCATTTGTCAATGTCACCCCCGTCGATACGAGCACTTACGAACACTGCTGCATCACCGAGCAGGCACACGCCCTCAACATTTCTGTTTTTGGTTTCGACCTACTCGGGAGTTTCCGAGAATAGCGGACCCTGATTTAGCACCCTAAATAGTAGGATCTTCAGTATAAGGACTCCAAAGTAAGGCAACACTAATTCCCGCAAAGGAAAGCCTCGATTTGGCGAGATTCCGGGTTAGGTGCCAAGAACTGGACTCCTCTTCCCGTTCAATGCTGAGAGAGAAGAAAGCCGGCCCTAAACCCTTTTTCAGCATGGGCTTGGATTGTGTGCCCTAAACCCTCAACCCGAAACCCGAAACCGTAAACCCGAAACCCTAAATCCTAAACCCCTAGAAGCCCCAGAAAGCCGATTGCTTCCCCGGCACCTGCTTCGAGCCACTTGGCAGAAAAGGCTACCTTGAGAAGAGGGGAGACATCTTCAGAGTTGCGGAGGCAGGGTTTGGGCCGAAGGGGTTTAGGGTTTAGGGCTTTAGGGTTTAGGGCTTTAGGGTTTAGGGTTTAGGGTTTAGGGTTTAGGGATTTTAGGGTTTAGGGCCGCTGCAAGTAGCTGCAGTTCTGCTGAGTTCCGGCTGGAAACAGTGGCGGCATAGAAAGAGGAGCAGAAGCAGCCGGCGAGAGCGTCCGCAGTACGAGCAGCAACAGCGGCAAACAGCTACGGCTTTTTCCATAAGCTGTCTTTGCAGGAGGAGCCGGAGCAGGAGGAGGAGGAGGAGGAGGAGGAGCTGGAGTAGGAGAAGCAAGAGGAGGGGGAGGGAGGAGGCGGAGGAGGCGGAGGAGGCAGAGGAGGCTCAGGAGGCGGAGGACGAGCAGCAGGGGCAAGAGGAGGAGGAGGAGGAGGAGGAGTCAAGACTCAGATTACATAAGAAAGTGTAGCAGCATCTGTGGCGACAGGTTCTCCTGAATGCTACTCCGAGAAGGTAAATCGGCGTGGACCCGGATGCTACGTTAAGGCTCTCCAGGGCTGCGGCCTGCGGCACCTTGCCGTCCAAGGGCGTGATGTTAACCAGTCGCCCCTGTGGTCTAGGGTTAGAGCTTAAGGTTTTTGGCCCTCCTACTTAGCAAAAGGACGAGGCACGCATTGCAGGGTAACTCCCAAGTAAAAGTGGGCTTAGGGTTTACGGTTTAGGGTTTAGGGTTCAGGTTGTTGTTAGTTTTTGGGCCTCTTTGGGGCTTCAAGGCACGGGAAGCCGGTCTTAGACGAGCCAAAGCTGTTGGGACACTGCCTCTTCACACAGATCCACAACCGCCAGCTCAGGAAAAAGCTCATGCATAGGGCACCAGAAAGCACATACGCAAAAATAAGGTCAGGGATATCCCATAAACACCCCCTTATAGTGAAGCCCAATAAGGTAGGGATTTCCTGTAAAATGCTTATGCTTATGTGCTTTTTGGGTCTCTAAATGCAGACCTACCAACTGATAAGCTGGATTGCTGTTACTCTGGGGCTGTTGGGGATTCCATCAAGGTCACCATAAAACCTCCACACAAGTTACCACAGGGGACCATAAGGGGATACCGTAAAGGTCTTGGCGCTCGGGGCTGCTGCTTCTTTCAGATTGCGGAAAGCAGCAGTCGATGCGCAGTAGCTTAAATGCGGCGGTGGTGGCCACCGTTGCAGCGGAAGTAGTGGAGTAATATAGGGCCATTAATAACTAGAATAGGGTTTGGGGGTATATCATACTATACTTATCATAAATAAGGAACACCAAGAACCCTGTTCTACTGCCACTACTTGGGAGTTTCCGAAAATGAGGGGTACCTCATTTGGAATCCTTATAATAATGATCCTACATCGCGATCTCCAGTTATGGATGGTTCTCAAAGCCTCCATTCAGGACGGTTCAGGGTTTAGGGTTTGAGGACAGCTCAAACTGCAACATTCCGATTGTAATAAGGCCCCCACCCACAATAAGTAGATTTAGCTCCAGCATGCTCTGACGGTTTCTTGATCGCTGCATCAAGGACCTCGGGTCCACCTTTATTTGGCCACTTCCCTTCCCCGCTCGCTCCCAACCCTATATGCATTAGGTACTGCCCCCATACAGCAAGAGTCTATAATAGGGCTATAATGAAGGTTCTAATATATCTATACTATGAACATTATGCAACTATGACTGAGTGGGGGCCGTACCCAATATATACACCAGCAGCTCTAAACAGTTACTATTCAAGCCAAGCACTCTCGGGGTCTTCTTGAAGAGCGACACGCGACCAACATTGGCCTGCACAAGCGGAACCCTGCTCAGGGTTTCAGGCTTAGGGCTTTGGGGCCTAAGCCCCCAAACCATCAAACCCTCAGTCCCTGAACCCTCAACCAAAATAGCAATATCAGTAACAATACTCAGAACAATGATCACCACAACAATAGTAGTAATGATAACTGTTATTGCTGTTATGATTATTATTCGCCGCCTCCTGGAACATCAAGAAGGTGTCCCCATTTGCCTGGCGCCGCAAGTTTAGCGAAGTGGTCCAAAAAACCTGCCTGTTTGCAATCTAGAGCACGTGGCTTCGCATGTCGTGGCTTCCCATGTACAGAGCTTACCTGAGCCCCAAAAACCTACCCCTCTTCGAGGACTTGCATAAGGAAATCATGACAAGGAACCCTAAACACGTGGACTTGTTCAGGTTCAGGTAGGGCCTAAATGCGTGTCTGAGTTCTTGTTAAGGCATTTGTTTTCAGATACCATACTAGGGATCTATAGTGAACAATATGATTTCTTTATTCTGTTAACGTAAGTTAAACTCCCTAACAAGAACCCAGGTGTAGGGCCTGAGTTTCCCAGAGACTCCAGAAGCCGCCACTGAGGAAGTTCCGAGTTCTTTAAAAAAGGGATCCGCTGGCATCCGGGTCTCAGGGTGCTTAGGGGGGAACTCCAGGCTTTCGATGGGGTTTTACTCGTTGTTAGTTGCATATGTAATATCGCAATTATAAGCCATTTTTCTTTCTTCTTTAGCTATATTAAGAGCTTGTGATAGGAAAGCAATCCCGTCAGGCTGCGGCGGTCAGCGGCGTGGAGGGCACGGCGGAAAAGAAGTTGCCCAGGTCGGAAAAGGGGTTGGCATTCTCGGCAGCGCTACCATTTAGGATTTGAGAGTGTTGGGTCTGAAAAACCGGACTGAACACAAATCTAGGGCTATTGCAGTAGTACCACAAGACAGTGAAAGCACAACGACAACAACCACCAACACAAGCTAAGCCCTGAAATCAGAAGAGGGGTCTAGCAAATCTAGGGTTCAGGAGCCCCTTCTCTGTAGGAGTTCCTGCACCCTCAACCCTGAAGTTCGGTTCAGGAGCCCGGGATACGAGTAAAGGCCGTCATGCACTCAAACCAAATCCCAAGGTTAAGGGCTGCGTTGTACCTCCCTTTTTCAGCTCCCTGAGGGGTCGGGAAGCGGCGGTTTAAGGTCTACTTGGAGGCCCTTTTGACTTAGTAAGTCTACTTAGTATCCCCTATAAACCCCATTATAATCCCAAAAACCCACCTTACTAACCCTACTTACTAAGTCAAAAGGGCCTCCAAGTAGGGTTTTGGGGGGTTCAGCTTCAGGCTCAAGATGACTTTGGGGCTGCGGGCTTTACACGGCGGTTGTTTTCAGGCTTTAGCACTTACCGCAAATGCCCAACAGATCCACCGCACCGGTGTGAGCCCTCAATCCTAAATCGGTACACTGTTAGTAGATGTAAGCCTACAAGTAGTTCACGAAAGGCTCAATCAAAGCGTCGCTTCAGCACTTATAGGCTGCCTGTTATGTCCTTTCATTTAAACCTAAGGGTTGACCAAAACCCTGGGTGGACTTGTAGGCTCACAAGAACGAAAAGCAACTAAACAATTCAGTCTGGCGACGAACTCCCGAAAGCGCACTTTTCGATCCTGCGCGACCCAAAGAGCACGTCCTACTCTCGTTTGGGCATGGGGCAATAATCTGAGTATGACCGGGCTACAACACTCCTGTATTTATCTGGCACGTTGCCTGAAACTTTCGTATGCCAAAAGGGAACTAATCGCATTATGACCGGGATACAAGGGCCCGGTATTTATCTAGCATGTTGTTCCACCACCCTAAAACCCTACCGCCTCAACTACGGGTTCGAAAAAAAGCGTGTTAAAAGGGGGTGCCGTTGTCGAAGGCCTCTGCACAAGGACACCTCATGCTCGCATGATTCACAGCCTGCGCTTTTGGGTGGACAGTTGTACTGGACCATGGGGCCTGACGGCGGCGACGACGACAGCAGGGGCCAATAACAACGACAACAACAAAAAGTACAAGCACTAGTAAAGGACCTTAACCACATGTCATATCTGTGAGGCAAGTTCTTACTATCGCCAGCATCATCATGATGGCCATCATCGTCGCCAGAATCTTCTTCACGCAGTCATCTTCATCATCATCATCATTAGCGGCAGCAGCAGCAGCACCAGCAGCAGCACTGCAGCCAGAACCACCACTACTCACCATCATCGCGATATGAGATACCTGCGAACTTAGCGGCATCGGTTATGCAACCAGCTACTCGACTAGTGGGAATTGGCCATCAGCTTCATACAGCTAGCGAGGTCTAGCTTGTGGCTTTACTGTTGACCCGAAACTCTGTCCCGCTCGAAATGGTAGACAGCGACCTTGCCGGACAGATCGCCGACCAGGAACCTTCATCGCTAGCTCTCTACTTGAAGGCCACAGTGGTAGATTCTGTGGTAGATACAATCAGAAGGATAAACAAATAATTCTTGGGGAGTTGCAGGTAAGTGAATCAGCCTAGGGTTTGGGGTTCAGCGCTTGGGTAGAGAGGGTTTTTGCAGGTTTAGTTTCAGGCAATTCGCTGTGTGGGACCTTTGGAATTTATGGTTCGCCTGCTAGGAGAGTTCAGAGTGTCGACGCAGACAATCCAGGCGGGTTTCGCTAAAAGGGCTCCTTAAAGGGATCTATAGGGTTCCTTATATACACGGGATCTATAGGTTTTCGGGTTTTGGGTATAAGGCTGGGGTTCAGACTTTAGCCCCTAGTGTGGAGGGATCATGCTTGCCAACAAGTTTTGGCAACCATTTTGAAACCGGACTTGATGACTGCCAGCACTGCCTCATCCGCTGCTCCTCAGCTGAACCCTAAACCCTAAGCCCTTAACCCTAAACCCCAAAACCGTAACACCGCAACACCGCAACACTCCACTCCATCATGGAACCGGGACGCATGTGTCACTGCGTCACGCCGCAGATCCCTAAACCCCTTCGGCCTTCGGAGCCCCAAACCCAGAACCAAAGGGGAAAAGGAGAGACCCCTAATGGGGACCCCTACCCTATAATGGGCTATATAATGGGCATATAATGGCTATATTAAGGGTATATACCCTAGGGGTCCTTATTAGGGGTCCCTACTTTTCCCCCTGGACAGAATGCAAAACCTGAACCCTAAACCCTAAACCAGGTTCAGGCACCTGAGGGTTCGCAGCTTTAAATTCTGCAGCCTGGCCTGAGATCACCGTGCTTCGTGAGCCGTCCTTGATGGCTTCCATGCTCTATAGTAGAGGGCTTGGGATTTGGGGGCCTATTTTAGGTGCGTAAGTCTACTATTTTTGGAGTTCCCTCTTCAAATTTTTCTAGATTTTGCACCAAAACCCTATTCTAATTATCAAGGCCCTATACTAAGGCCTGCAGGGATAAAACACTCGCGATTGAGGTTTCAATGTCCAGGATTTGACTGGGGTTCAGGGGTACGGATTTAGGGTTTAGGGTTTAGGGTTTAGGGTTTAGGGGTTTAGGGTTTAGGGTTTTAGGGTTTAAGGTTTAGGGGTTTAGGGTTTAGGCGGTTTAGGGTTTGCGGCGTAGGCTCTCATTCTCGGAACATCCAGATGGGTTTAGAAACTGGCCGGTCCGTCTGCACGGAATATCCCAGGCGGGGCGTCTGAGAAGTAGCATAGCGCGTTAATTCTTAACTAGGATACCCAGTAACCTAAGAATAAAAAGGCCTCTCTTTTTGGTATTGGGTAACTTTATAAGGAACCTAGGACTACAAAAAGGGAATAAGGGTACTACTGGGCATCCTAGTTAATTCTTAAGGATGAAGCGGTGCCAAACCCCGACATATTGGGGTCTTCTCGAGGCTGGCGGATGCTAGGCCTTTAAGGGCTCGACGGGGTAACATTAGGGTTTCGGCGCTCACACTCGGACAATCCAGGCGAGGCATATGGTTCGGAGTCGCAACATTAGGGTTTAGGGTTTAGGGTTTACGGGCAAAGGCGAGTCTCACAGCAAATGCAGTGTGACACGAAGTACCACTGTCAGCATGCTCCAGGCCCCATGCTCTGGGACACAGTACTCTTCCCCTCCGCGGGCGAAACCTATGTGCCGAAAGCCGTCATTCCATGCGGAAATTTCAGCAAATAAAACACCTAAATCAAATGGTAAGATTGGTACATGCTTGCAAGGACTTCCAAACCAAAGCAGCCCTACTAACTTCAAGAAACCCTGGACCTTCTACGGCACTCCTGCATGCACCGCCGGGTAGTAATGCCCATCTCCTTCCACGTGATGGAACCTCGGCTGGCTGCATCTTCCTTCGTGCGTTCAACAAGCCCTCCTTTCATGGTTCCGGGCTTAAAACTAAGGTTAAGGGATCAGCACAGCCAAACCCAAAAAATCCTGAATCTCCCTAGCACCTGAACCATATGTCTCACGCATCGAAGCTCCTCCAAAACACCGCCCCGCCAAACCCCGCCGCATGGAAGGAACCCTTACAGAAGCCCTGTGAAGCCCTTACGGAACCCAACAAAACCCTCTGAAATCAAAACCAGGCCTGCAAAATCTTATCAACTCCACAAACTCCTACTAAGCCCTATGAAAGCCACCAAAACCCTCTGAAATCCATGCAAAGCTCCACACATCCTCCAGAGCTCCTCAGCCCTAAACCCCGGCGTCTGCTTTAAATCGCGCGGAGGCACGGATTCTGCGCACCGAACCGGCGCTCCAGCATTCCGCTCTGCAGTCGCTCAAAGAACAGCCTCCGTTCAGGCCATAATTGGAGGATCATGGGACTTAGGAAGTAGTGTTTTAAGTAAAGTAACCATACTTCCAAGTAGTTACAATCCCAGATAAGGTATACTTACTAAGTCGCATGATCCTCCAAGTGGCATTTGGGGCATAGGACTTAGGATTGAGGGTTGAGGGTTTAGGGCTTATGGTAGAAGCCCAAAAGTTGGAAACCCAACAGCCTCAATCCTTAAGATCAATGTATAGGGAATCCCAGCACTATTTGGCCTTAATTCGGTTTCCAACTTACTGTAATGCCTTTACGAAGCACTTCTGTTCTGTCTGCCGGTCTGCCGCTTGGCTGCAACCGACGCAAGGTCCCTGGGACTAAGGTTGATGATATAAGTTCTGCATTACCTTAAGGACCCTAAACTATGGGAATTATGGTATATTCCTTACTATGGATAGTGCAGGACTTATGTTATCAACCGTAGGTGGAAGATTTAGAGTTGAACCCTAAACCCTAAACCCTCAGCTTCAGGGTTGAGGGTTGACAGCGGCAGAGGGTCGCAAGCCTTTTCCGAAGCTGCAAACCCCCCCAACCCGGAGCTCCGAAACCTTAGAGGCCCTACGGTTTAGGGTTTAGGGTTTAGGGTTTAGGGTTTAGTGTACTCACCAGAAAAAAATGTAAAGAGACCCGTCGAATACCCTCAAGAAAGCCATCCCGAAAACCTGGCCACTAAGAGATCCAAGCAGCACGCTGCCATCGGTCTGACCGACCCTCAGAGGGGATCTATTGGTCTGCTAAGGGGGGGTACGAACAGCAGGAGGGAATATATGGATAAGGAAGGGTTTAGGGTTTCGGCGCTCACACTCGGGTTTAGGGTTGAGGGTTTAAAGCAAGGAATATGTGGATAAGGATTTATAGTATTCTGGGTCCTTAGTTTCCTGAGGTCTGCTTACAGTATCAGAGGGCTTGGTAAATAGACTACGGCTAGGGCCTGAGAGTACCCTACTTGACCTTGCAGCACCCTGTAAGCTTGCGAGGCTCGGGGGATCCTCAAAGCAATATCGGGGCCTGAGTCACTGCTTGGAGGATCATGGGACTTAGTAAGCAAGGTTATAAATAAGGTAACTATACAACTATACTTATAAGTACTTAGAACCCCAATTAAGGCACTTACAACCTTACTTACTAAGTCCCATGATACTCCAAGTAGGACTTAAGGCTTTTTTGACACTCACACTCGGACAAAGCCTGGCAAGGTCTGTAGCGATGGTAGGTCATTCGTTAACAGCTTAGATTTAAGGTTTAGGGTTTCGGCGCTCCCACTCGGGCAGTCCAGGCGAGGCATGTGCTTCGGAGCCTTGTGGAGTGAGACATAACTAACGATACCAATGGGAGTGTTCATGGTACTCTCAGCGGTTTACTTGGAGGATCATGGGACTTAGTAAGCAAGGTTATAAGTACCTTAACTGGGATTATAAGTAGTTATAAGTATAGTTACCTTATTTATAACCCCACTTACTAAGTCCCATGATCCTTTAAGTAGGGCTTAGGGTTTCGGATCTGGTGCTATGGTAAGCAAGGGGAGCCCTGAGGAATGGCGCTGGTGATAGCTACTTGGAGGCCCTTTTGACTTAGTAAGTAAGGGTTCCTTTAAAGGGGTCCCAAAAGGGATCTATAGGGGTTCCTTAAAGGGATCTATAGGGTTTAGGGTTTCTTACTTGGAGGCCCTTTTGACTTAGTAAGTAGGGTTAGTAAGGTGGGTTATGGGGCTTATAATAGGGTTTCTAGGGGATACTAAGTAGACTTACTAAGTCAAAAGGGCCTCCAAGTAGGCCCCTGTATTGTGGGTTTTGTCGAGGGTCCGGATGGCCGCCCGCTGTACCCTGGTGTTCAGGGCTGCTGGGGACTTAAAGCCTACTTGTCGGGGATCATGGGGAACTAAAGGTTAACCTTATTGGTTATATAGGGGCTATACTACCCAGAAAAGGTTAAAGGTTACCTACTCGACTACTAGGAGAAAGCTTTTGGAGAATGGGGTTACAGCTCTGCGGCTTGCTTTCTGCATGTGGCTTGGAGGGTAATTTTCGGGGCAACGATAATTGGAATGGGGTTTTGGGCGTTCCTTATTGCAGTTTAGTGTACCCCCAAATCTTGGGTGTTCCTTATTACATTTGTAGTATAGCGTACCCCCAATCTTATTCTACTTATCAAAGCCCCTACCCAGAGATCCCAATACCTGTTAATTAAGGAATAGGCCTTAAATTATATTAGGATCCCTAATATGATTTAAGGTATATTCCTTGATTAAGGGGTATTGGGCTCTCTGGGTACCTGCATTAGGTTCCTCTTTGTCTGGGCTTTCAAATCCCTGGCGCCGGCTCACGTACCGGGCTCGGGGTTCTGGGTTCAAAGGCTCTGGGGCACCCCTTAGACCCTAGGAGGCGCCGCCCTCTCACACGAAGCCGGTTCCCAAGGCCCCAACTTGAAGGATCATGGGACTTACGGTTGATGATATAAATCCTGCATTACCCATAGTAAAGAATATGCCATAATTCCCATCGTTTACGGCCATGAAGGTAATGCAGGATGGATACTAACAACCGTAGCAAGTGGGGTTATAAATCAGGCAACTATGATTATAAGCACTTTTTTGAAATTAAGGCACTTACAGCCATTACAGCCCTACTTACTAAACCCCATGATCCTCCCTAGCGTTTACGGCCAAATCCAGGCTAGCCCAAGGGCTTCGGGTTTAGGTTATCGGATTGAAGCTGGAACTGGAGTGGCAGTCGCCCAGATTGCCCCAATGCCACTACCGTGCGAGCTCAAAGCGGAACCTAATATGGGGGTTTCCGAAAATTAGGGGTACCTTGTTTGGGCGTTCTTATAATAAGGATCCTACTATTTAGGGTACTATATTAGGGTCCCCTATTTTCGGAAACCCCCATATAGATCCGCGGGTTCCTCGGGCTTCTGGGCCATTCAAGCCTTAACTTCTTATATGAGGTTGCTGCTTAAGCCCCCTTGCCAACAAAAAACCAGTAAACCCTAAAACCCTAAAACCTAAACCCTAAAACCCCTAAACCCTAAAACCAAAAAAAACTCTGTACTGTACTGTACGACCCTAAAACCCTCAAACCCTAAAACCCTAAAACCCTAAACCCTAAAACCCTAAAACCCTAACCTAAACCCTAAAACCCTTAAACCCTTAAACCCTAAACCCTAAACCCCAAACCCTCCACGAGAAGTCTATAAAGAATGCGGGCAGCAGGAAGTCCATATCTCCATCCAGCTCCCAGTCGGCCATGCAGACCCTTGTTGGGTGGTTGTCAAAATTATGGTCCCTTTTTGGGTCCCAATATATTGCGGCCCCTAATATTTAGGGTGCCCAAAAAGGGACCCTAATTTTGACAACTACCCTGTTTGAAGCTGGGGTTTGAAATTTGGGGTTTAGGCTCTCACGACTGGGGTTTAGGGGTTTAGGGTTTTAGGGTTTAGGGTTCAGTTGGGTTTTAGGTATTATGGGCTGGTGTAAGGTTTAAGGTTTGGCATAGTATGGGTAGCAGATGAGGTCGTGCTGAAGGTTGAGAGTTTGGGGCGTACTGCTTCCAATGGATTGGCGCCTTTCAGCTACGACGGTTGGCATTTCGGGTTGAGGGTTTTAGGATTTTGGTTTGTGAAAAGCTGCCGTCACTACTGCTGGCAGCAACATCGCTGGTCTTTTCTTTTCTCCTCTATCCATCCACGAGAACTATTCCGTCCACTTCTCCTTGCTCGTTACCACCACTACCGCTGTTGTTGCCGCTAGGTGTTTTTGGTTCCCAAGCTCTTCGTCTTTGGGGCTTAGGGTTAAGAAGTTACAACCTGCTTTCCCTGTATCTTGAGGGAAGTAAAGGCTAACCTGTGGAAAGAATAGAGGTTATAGCACCCCACATGCTAAAAGTCACCCCTACACTACACCCCAAACCCCAAACCTTTTAAGACCTAAGGGAAGGATGCACCTACGAGTAGCCTAAACCCCGAGACTGTCATCCGAGTCATTGAATTAGGCTTGAGAAAAGTCACTTACTTAGAGCTTTGGGATTAGAGCTTGCAGGATCACGGCGCTTGGTAACTAGGATTTGGGAGAGACGATACTTACAACTTTAACCCCGAGCGAGGCTAAGTCACTTCTGACCATGCTTACAAAGTCCCATGATCCTTCATGTATTAAGGTCCAAAAAGGCAAGCTGCACAAATTTAAAGACCTTTCGAAACCCTAAGATCGCGAACGAACGCCGGATGTCCCGTGGCGTATAATTTCTAACTTAGGTGGTAGGGTCTAGGGCTTTGGGTTAAGGGGTTTAGGGTTTCGCAGGACTTTAAATATTCTCAAGCCCCTCTCTCGTCGCCATGCTGCGAGGCATAGTAGCCTGACCAGCCCCTGTGGTTGCCCGTGAACCTGAGAATGACATCCAGGGGAACTGACCAGGGCATGACCCTGCAGCCCCCATTTGAGATTAGCGAAACAATCAACGTACAGGTACACTTGGCTTTCTGCTTCGTCTACAGGACACATCCCACAGTGAACGCCCCTTCTGCAAGCCCTGAATAAGCAGAACCTGCCCGAAAAGACCGACAACAAACCCATGCACCCTTAACACGCTCTCATCACTCCTACCTGCACAGACACCCCTTCCTCTTCATCCAAAGGGCTTGGTGAGGACGACGTTGAACGGGTTCTCAGTGCCGAGCCTCGACCAAGGACCAAGGGACGGTTTTGGGGACGAAACTTCAACCTTCGGTGTTTGGCAACTTCGGGGTTTAAGGCCTGGGGGAGTTCGGTGCTTTCAGGGTGGCGGCTTTATGGTTTAGGGTTCAGGGAAGGTTTCGGGTTTACGGTTTAGGGTTTAGGGATGTCAGGTGGTGCGAAGCCTGGTCCATGAAGAATCCCAACAAGGACCCCAACAGCTTAAACCTGCCTCCAAACTTCGAAAACTACCAGATGCTCAGACTGTCGGTATCTTAAAAATCTTAAAACCTGTACCGACCTTTTTCACTAAACCCCAAAACCCCCCTAAACCGTAAACCCGCATAGACCCTACTTAGAGGATCATGGGACTTAGTAAGTGGGCTTATTAAGTAGATAACTATACTTAGCTACTTATAATCCCGTTTAAGGTACCCATGACCTTACTTACTAAGTCCCATGATCCTCCAAGTAGACCCCAAACCCTGAACCCTATAGATCCCTATAAGGTACCCTATAGATCCGATTAAGGAACCCTATAAACCCCCCCGAGGCGGCGGTCCGGCCTGCTTTTCAGGATGCCATCGCGATTCTCGAAGTAGGCGACGCCTCTCTCAAGGTCGGGCACGGAGGGTTCAGACTTGGGGTTCAGGGTTCAGTGCTTTCTGTGGGGGGGGGTGGGGGGGTGTGGTGGAGGGGTGGAGGTGGGGGGGGGGGTGGGGGAGGGTGGGGGGGGTGGGGGGGGGTGGGGAAATAGTCCCTACCACAACCGGAACCCCGATACCACAACCAGAAGCCCTATACTGCAACCAGAAAGTGGACCCTACTACAACTCAGCAGCTATATACAAAAAAATGGTCCCTACTACAACTGGAATGTTCTTCTTTGGTTAGTATAGGTTTGTGTGGACAGTATCCCGTTGTTAAGGGGTCTGTTGGAGCCTTGTGTAGCATTGTCGAATGTTTAGCAGGGTGTACAAGTCGAAGGGTTTTTTAGACCTCTAGGTTCAAGGTCTTGGGGTCGTGGGGTTGGGTTGCCCGTATGCCTTTAGGCTTGTTGTTCCTCACTGCTCCTAAACCCTTCGGATTTCAGGGCTTCAGGGCACCCTTTCTGACGTAGGACCTGTGTGGGGTTCGTGTGGTTACCCCCAGTGTTCCCGATAAGACTCAGAGACCGATGACGACCCCCACAAACACCAGCACCACTACCAAACACCAGCAACACCACCAACACCACCAACTCTACTGTTTTGGAGTCAAACCTTCAATAGCATAGAGGCCCGTCTTTAGCGTTAGGTCTTACTTGTTCATTATGAATATTCAGTAGATCGTAGCATCTGGACGAAGAGCGGTACCTACTGCAACTGCATCTTTTCCAAAAATGAATGTGTTTCCTTAAAGGTTGACCATCAGATTGGAAACCATATAAAATATGGCAAAATCCAAGCTTGTTAGCTGGTTGTGATATGGTGGTTTCGGGTTTTGCCCAAATCCAGGCCCAGTTGCGGTACAGGGCTTTTGGTTGTGGTATCGGGGTTCCGGTTGTTGTAGGGACTAGTCGCGGGGGGGTGGGGGGGGTGGGGGTGGGGGGGGGTGGGTGGCAGCCGAGGCGAGGAGTTTACGTTCTCGCAACTCCAACAAGCCAAGCTTTGGTGCGGTTTAGGTTTTGGGGTTGAGGAGCCCGAAAAGACGACAAGAAGAACTCGCCGGCAAACATCCACTTTTCATCGGCGAGTGGAACAATGCGAGACGGCATGTCAGAATTTGCAATATAGAAAACGAAAGAGCGAGAGAGAACACGAGAGAGAGAGAGAGAGATAGAGACAGAGATAGAGATGGAGGTCGAGGTAGAGATAGAGACAGAGGTGGAGATAGAAATCGAGATGGAGATGGAGACGGAGACGGAGATTGAGATGGAGATGGAGATGGGGATAGAGATCGAGATAGAGGTAGAGATGGAGATGGAGCCCTGCAGACAAGTGGACGTCGGCACCTCCTCGAACCCGAAACCCTTAAAGCCCTACAGCCAGCCCTCAAACCCCGAACCCGACAACCCTCCATCCTTGTAGAGCCTTTTGTACCGCACCACCCCTCACACCCCAAACCCCAAACCCCAAAACCTTTAAACCCCAAAACCCTAAACAATAAACTACCGCCTCGGCCAATGGGCACAGCCAGGTCAATGTCTCCATCCGCATCCCAGTCGGCAGCCTGAGCATCCTAAACCCTGAACCCTAAACCCAAAACCTAAACCCTAAACCTTAAACCCTAAACCCTAAAGCTCGCGAACATCGGGTTGCAAAGTGGGAGTTTAGTGCCTTTATGGTTACGGTACTTCTTGGGATGAATGATTGGAACTTGGAACTTCCTTCTATGCACATCGGACTCTACTTGGAGGATCATGGGACTTAGTAAGTAGGGTTATAAGTACCTTAACTGGGGTTATAAGTAGTTATAAGTATAGTTACCCTAATTATAACCCCAGTTTCTAAGTCCCATGGTCCTTTAAGTACATAATTCCGGTAACGGCTGTTTCGGCAAGCTCAACAAGCTCTTTGTCCGGAGGCTCGTGAGGCTGAAATGATGTGTTGTTGCTGTATGGCCTACTTGGAGGGTCGGGGGACTTAGTACCTGGTTATTTTAGGGACTTACCATAACCCCAATTCGGGTCCCTTTTGGGGTACTTATAAGTCTACTTACTACCTACTTACTAAGTCTCCCGACCCTCCAAGTACAGGCAAGGAATACTACATGAGTGACTATAAGGGCTTAGGAGTTAAGGGCTTTAGGCTTTAGGATGTTTTTTTGCCGTCTTCAGGATGTCTTCAGGGGGTGGGGCTTAAGGTGCAGCGTTTGGGGCCCAGGGTTCGATGTTGAGTTGAGATTAGGGTTTTTTTTTTGGGGGGGGTGGGTTAGGGATTAGGGTTTAGGGTTTAGGGATTAGGGTTTAGGGTTTAGGGATTAGGGATTAGGGTTTAGGGATTAGGGTTTAGGTATTAGGGTTTAGGGTTTAGGGTGTAGGGTGTTCGTGAGAAAGGATCCTGGCAAGGCTTCGGCATAGTTGGGTTGATCCAAGCTGAATGGATCCAAGGGTATATACCCTTGATATAGCTACGAAAAAACCCAAGAAATAGACCATTATAGGGTTTAGGGTAGGTATATTCCCTTAATATAGCTATTATATACCCATTATATAGCCCATTATAGGGTAGGGGTCCCCATTAAGGGTCCCTCCTTTTCCCCTCTCGGCCCTGAACCCCAAACCCTCGGCCGAGGCGTTTGAGCGAGCTTATAAATCAGCATCGATGCCGGAACTCTCCTCTCTCAGACTGCGAATGAACAACACCCAAATGGGTGGTTGTCAAAACTAGGGTCCTTTTTTGGGTCCCGAATATACTACGGCACCTAATACTTAGGGTACCCCCAAAAGGGACCCTAATTTTGACAACCACCCAAATTCAAATTCCACATTGGCCGAGCTCCTCAAGCAGGTCTCGGGGCTTAAGAGTTTGAGTCTAGGATTTGGGGGTTTCCGAAAATTAGGGGTACCTTATTTTGGGGGTCCTTATAATAAGGACCCTACTATTTAGGGTACTATATTAGGATCCCCTGTCTTCGGAAACCCCCATTTAGGGTTTAGGCCCTCAGGGGGTAAGGTTTCGGGTGTAGGGCTTAGGGCTCAAGTAAATTCAAGGGCTGTCGGGCGATGGGTCGGTGTCATTAGGACTCCGCTGAAAACGACGAAGAGGAAGAGGATAACGACGGCAACAACGAGAAGGACGAGATGGCTACGAGGCTTAAACCCAAAACTCTAAACTTAAAACCCTGGGAGGAGGAGGAGGAGGAGGAGGATGAGGAGGAGGAGGAGGACGACGAGAAGCAGGGGGAGGAGCCTCGACCCAGCGCGTCTCAAACATCCACTTAGCACACCATCGTTTAGGGTTTAGGGTCCCTTTCGTCTTCCCAATGTTGCTGCTGCTACGGCTTACTTCTCGGCCCAGGGGCATGAAAGCGACAGGCCAGCCACTGGCACCTGTGAGGATGTAACCCTAGCATCTCGAAACCCTCAAATGCCCCAAAGCCCGTAAAGCCCTAAACGATGGTACATTTTGGTAGATAATTATAGACTGTTAAAGTGTATTTATGACATATTAAAGGTATATTCGATGGCAAAATCCCCGTTTCTCAAGAACGTGCGGCAGAAGAGCTCTCACTCAACGGTGTGAGGGTCGGGGCTGGTCCCAGCGTGCGCCGAGGCAGTGTGAACCCCCAAGCTTGGGAGGCTTGAAGCTGAGGACCATGCGGGAGTTTCCGAAAATATGGAACCCTAATATAGTACCCTCAATAGTAGGATCCTTATTATAAGGACCCCAAAATAAGGTACCCCTAATTTTCGGAAACTCCCATGTGGGTGGTTGTCAAAACTATGGTCCCTTTTTGGGTACCATAAATATTAGGTGCCGTACTATAATAAGGACCCAAAAAAAGACCATGATTTTGACAACCACCCATGTGATGCCGGAAAATGCTGCAAAACAGCTCACGAGTACTTCTTCTATGTAAACGACACACGCCGCTTAGCTGTCGGGCTTGAAAGCTCTTCTTCCAGCGAAGCATAGAGAAGCACAATCCCCCTCCTGCACCGGCCACATTTTGCAGAAAACTACAGGTAGGACGGGAAACCATGGTAAAGAAAGCCATTAGAAGCAAGCTTGGTTAAAAACTGCAAGAGCATCGCTGAGAAAGCGCAGATTAACCTCAACTCCCGAACACTAATCCCCAAAACAACTCTAGATCCTCGACTAGCTTAAACAACCCTTTTTGCCCTGAACCCTAAACCCGAAACCCTAAACCCTCAACCCTAAACCCCTAAACCTGGCCTGATTCGTCGGAACGGGTTGTGGACTCCACGCTGCTCCACCAAGCGGCCTTTGCCCCTGGTCTGAGTCTTGGCTTGGGTTGCCTGATGTTCGCTTCGGGTTCAGGGGTCTTGTCTTCAGGGTTCATTTAGGGTTTCGGGCTTAGGATGAATCTTAATTTTTCGAGCTCGTCTTCTTCGAATCGACGGACTCGCGGGTGGTATTAAGGATTTATGCTCTCGCAACTCGGACAAGCCAGACGAGGTCTCTGCGTTCGGGTCGGCGACTAATTACATCTAGCCAGCGGCGAGTGGTATGAAGGGTTTAGGGTTGACGGGCTTAGGGTTTAGGTTTTGGAGAAGCCCTTTTCTTGACGGGTCCTAATATCAGGATCCCCCTTGACGATCCCTTTCAAGCAGGTTTCAGCACTAGGGCTTCAGGTTAGGGCGAGAGCTTAGGGTTTAAGGCGCAGCGGCTTTTTGCCGCGAGGTTATGACACAAGATCCTGTAAGATTTGAAGCTGATTCAAGGGTGCGCAGATCAGAACAAATGCCCGGTACAACATAGCATCAATGCATAAATAGTACCCAAGCAACCGAGCCACCCCGCCTTGAACCGCATATGCCGTTGCGTGCTTTGGAACCATGTCAGAAACTGCGGCTTACCTTTGACCAAACCTGCCCCGCGAAAACCCTATACCCCACAGCCCCCGCACCACCTCCCCCCCCCCCCTCCCGGCTTTGCGCGATCCCCGAAGAACAATTCTCAATCTCTTGGCTTGACGCCGCCGTTTCTGCCCGGCCTTTGAAGGAAGTACCGGATGCGTCCACCCACGGACCAAAGCAATTCCTGCCGTCAGGACTCTGAAGGATCCTTCCCAGTTTCCCAAGGCTTTGGGCATGTAGGGGCGGTGAAGAAAGTTTGCATGGTTCAACATAGTAGCCAAGGCTGCCGGATCTAATCCCCAAACACTAACCTTCAGTAGACCTTCGACCCGTCTCCGACAACCCTATGGGTATGTCCACAGGTCAAAGCAGCAGCAACCCGCAAATCAGAGAGCTCACGCAGACTTTGCGGGTGTATGAAGCGGCAAGCGCCGAATTCTTGACCAGTGGAGCATGTAACTGACAAGGTCAAGGAGCTACACCCGTCAGCTGACAAGTGGAATACGCGGCAGAATTTTGACATGCGACGAGCACCCCAGCTTCCAACCCTATGGCTCCAAACCGCAAACTGTAAACCTGCACCTGCCCAGTCCAAGTGCTTATAAGAACCCTTGTACAAGAATCATGTCTAGGGCGTAGGGCTACGAAATTCTCAAGAAACCTGCCACTTGGATCCCTTAACCAGATACACTTAGGTCTTAGGGCCTTAGGGTTCAAGTTCAGGCCCTATGCAACCCTTAAGAAACTTGTGAATCGGATCCGTTACTCCCGACCCCCCCTTATGAGGATGTCCAGCTTCGTGTCGCCGTCGAAATCCACGGCCGCCACCGTGGCCGCAGAGAAGGTGCCGTTGCGAGGCGGAGGAGGGTGGAGAACCTCGGGGGTTGATAGAGATTTGGGAGTTTCCGAAAATAGGGGACCCGAATATGGCGCCCTAAATAGTAGGATCCTGATTATAAGGACCTGAAAATAAGGAACCCCAAAGTGTCGGAAACTCCGACTTTGGTGTTGCTAGGGTTCTGCTTTTCCGTGTTGGGTTTTGTGTCGGGTGGTTGTTCTCTTGGGTGGTTTCGAGTTTTTTGTGGTTTGGGTTGTTGAGCTTTTGGATTTAGAGTTCAACCGAACTGGTGTTTTCTTTGTTTTGGGGCTCGCACTCCGACCCTACCGACACTAGGACCTACAGGACTTCATGAGAAAAATCCTTGACCTGGATTCTACATTCGCTGCGAGCAGTATGGAAAATACTACGTAGTTGCTGGCATGCCTGCTGTTTGTGTCCCTTCCTCCTGTTCCTGCTGCTTCTGCTTCCCATTTGTCTGATTTTGCTGCAGTTCCTCTTCACCAAACCCTTTTTTTGAACCCGTACTGAGGCCGATGCCTGTGACGGGAGCAGGAGCGTTCTCCGAACCCTAAGCCGCTAAACCCTAAAAGGAATTCTCAACTCAGTTCGGCCCCGGCGCGTGGAAGGGGCTGAGGGCTCCCCGTTGAAAGTGGAACTTCCCGGCACGGCCGCCCTTGAAGTACCTGAGCAGAAGTCTTCAGCATTGAAGGGCAGTTGGGGTTTGGTACTCAGTCTCCAAAAATATTGAATTAGAAGGGTCGGAATAATTGCCAATACTGTTCCTCAGGGTTCCGAACATAACTAAAGCATAGCTGACTAGCAACCCCCCGAAACCCTCTTCTCACCTGTGGTTAGTAGGGAACGGAAGAGAGATATAGTAATAATAGTTATAACTGTACCCCATTCCTCCATTCCCTACCAACCAAAGGTAAGTCTTCTCATTATTGCTGAGTTGTCCTTTAAGCCCTTTGAAAATTATTTACTATTATAGTTCTCTACAAAATAGTAGGGGTAAGTAAGAAAGATCCCAAAAGACAACCCAGATTAAGGCCTCCATGTTAAGCTTGAGGCTTCGGGTTCGGTGCTTGCGGTCTCGCTCGATGGAGAGCCCTGGCTGCAACTTCTTTTCGAGTGTCTCGCTTCGCTGGCACCGCGAAACCGGATTCCTCAATATGGGACTTTCCGAAAATGGGGAACCCTTATATAGCACCCTAAATAGTAGGATCCTCATAAGGATTCCCAAAATGAGGAACCCCCAATGTTCGGAACCTCCCATATCGCTCCGGGGTCTAGCATAAGAGTACCGTACTCTTTGTTAAAATCCAGTCAAGGCTTCAACAAAACGGACGATCCAGCTCCAGAATCCCAAACTGAGGACCTCTACTCAAGGAACATGGGACTTCGTAAGTAAGGTTATAAGTACCTTAACTGGGGTTACAAGTAGTGATAGGTATGGTTACCTTATTAATAACCCCACTTACTAAGTCCCATGATCCTCTAAGTAGGCTCGTGGGATTTGGGGTGTAAAAATCTGGGGCTCAGCGTAGGTGGCTTCTTGGATCATGGGGGTCCCAAATCATCCGGCCGCACAGAAACGACCCCGGCACTGAGGGTCTAGGGCTTCTGGCGAGAAGGTCAAAAGCTTCGCATATGGGCTTCTTCGAGTTTCGAATTTAAATCTCCCTACCTGAGGATCATGGGACTTAGTAAGTGGGTTATTTACAAAGGGAACTATACATATAACTACTTATAACCCCAGTTAAGGTACTTATACCCTTACTCTTTCAGGGGTTTGGAGTCTTCAAGTTCCTCGAGCTGGCCTCACACTCCCGTCATGCTCGCCCACGAGGAGGTCCTGGTAACCGTCGCCGTTCCAGTCCACCACGAACGGTGCTGCTAGCCTCAGCTTCCCCCTATCATCCCTTAGCAGGCTCCCCAGATGTTTAATATGCATATACAAACAAAGAAAGCCAATATTAATGTAAGTAGACAGGTTGATAATCGCACAACCCAAAGTGGATGTTTCCACTTTCTGGAACAGGGCGGACCAGGAATGATTCTTCGCACGTGCGTACGTACACGGACACCCATAGAGACAAAATCGCTCAGCTGTGATACTTGCATGTATCGATGTCCGCTTACGTCTACTGCGTGCAGTATCTTCTGTAGCTACGTAAACTGTGCCCTGCACCATCAAGCCTAAAGCCTACATCCTAAACCCTCTAAAATCCTAAACCCCAAACCCCATTTGTGGTCTTGGGGACTAGCCAAATCCTTGCATCACGGCCTTAACCCTTAGCCCCAACTCTACATTCCCAAACCCGAAATGCCGCTCTCCAGCCGGGAAAATGAAGTAACTGCATAGCAGGCAGCCGCTTTGCGAAGCGGAAGCTCCCACCTTGAACCTGCCACAGCGACTCCTTAAAAGGGTTCCTTTTAAGGGATCTATTACAAGGTTCTGACATAGTGTTCCTTAGTGGAATCCTTAAAGGAGCATGGGACTTCGTAAATGAGGGTTCCTTAAAGGGATCCTTAGAGGGATCTGCAGGGGTTCTGTAAGGGAGGATCACGGGACTTAGTAAGCGAGGTCAGAAGTACCTAAGTTGGGGTTGTAAGTATTGTTATAAGTATGGCTACCTCATTTACGACCCGGCTCACCAAGTCCCATGATCCTCGAAGTGGAGCTTACTCAAGAGACTTGCAGGGTGATGTGTTAAGAGATCTACGTGGTTTCTACAGGGTTTTCTATTGGGTTCTCTATACGGTTTTCTACGAGTACAGGGTTCATAGAAGCTCCGGGCTTATGGCTGCAGTTCTAATCGAAACGACTCCGGTTCCGGGTTCGCGGTTGCAGCCGCAGCCGCAAAACGATGCAGCCCCAATCCCAGGCCGTTAGAACTAACCTGCTGAAATACTGAACAACTAAACCCTTACGTACACTCCTCAAACCCCCATGGGTCTTGACGAGGTGCTGCATCGAAGTCCGAGCGCTCACAGTCTACCACACTTTATGCGATGGTTCAGAAATCCAAAACGTATTCAATTTCACGGAAATGATTCTGTGCCAGGGAAAGCGTCTCAACAACCAACCCGTGCCACCCATGAGCTGCCAAACCCTAAAAACCAAACCAAAGCCATAAACCCCCAAAGCAATAACCTTTATCGAACCCTTGTAGCAACCCTGATAGAATCCTCTTTCCAACCCCTATGGACCCTTATGGACGCCCCCCGGGTATACTTCGTAAACCCTAAACTCTAATCCCTATACCGCTGCGGCCCCGGCTAGGCGAACGTTGTGGCCCAAGCATCTCTGAGGGCTGCGACGACACCACCAGGTCCTTTCATTAGGGTTTAGGGTTTACGGGATGATAAGGGCTTAGGGTGTATACGCTCTCACAACTCGGACATGCCAGGGTTTAGGGCTCAGGGGTTTTAGGATTCAGGGTTAAGGGCTTTTTGTGTAGGGTTCCGGGTTTCGGATTTGGGTTCAGGTTTGGCGTCCGGTTTCGGGTTTTGGAGATTCCGGAAGTCAGGCTCCTGCCCGTCCACTTCGAAGCCCTACCCGGTTACCAGAAACCCTAAACCCCAACCCCTAAACCACGCTCTAAACCCTAAACCCTAAACCCCTAAACAACCTGATCCTCCCTGGCCCGAAGCTCGAAGCTACACCGCCCTTGCCGCCTGGAGCCTCAAAGCTGTGCCCAAGTACTGAAACATCCTGTGAAGCTGACCGCCGAAACCACAACCCAGGTTGAAGGTGGGCGGACGCAAATTAAGACATGGGAGTTTCCGAAAATAGGGGACCCTAATATAGCACCCTAAATAGTAGGATCCTTATTATAAGGCCCCCAAAATGTGGCACCCCTAATTTTCGGAAACTCCCACATGGTCTATCGACCTCTGAAACCGTTGCGGCATCTTCGGATCTCGACTGGTTCAACCTCTTGGAGGATCATGGGACATGGTAAGTAGGGTCATAACTGCCTTAATTGGGTTTTTGGCTCCCGCTTGGCTGTCTGGCGACTGCAATGAATTGGGGTTATAAGTACTTATATGTATAGGGTACCTTATTTATAACCCCACTTACTAAGCCCCATGATCCTTCAAGTGGTTCAACCTGAATCAAGATCCACGGGTGCACCGTGCTGCCTGCCGAGGATAACCGGGTTCAGGGCTTCGGGCGGGACCCTGGATCCCACACCCTGAACCCAAACCAAAAGCTCTAAACCCTAAACCCTAAACCCAAAATACCACACCCTAAACCCAAATCCTCACACCACAGCCAGGATGGGCCGGAGTCCCGGAGCCAAGCTAAACCGGGTCGATCGTGTTTCTCGCGGTTTGTCGCCCAATGCAAAACAAGGGCGGGACTTCAGGGATTTGGACTTAGGGTTACTGGAGGATTGGGGACGACCCTAAACCCTAAACCCTTACGGTCTCTCTGAAGTGCCTCCAAGTTGCTTGCGTACTCTAAGCCCTAAACCCTTAAACCCTAAGAGTTCCTTGAGGATTGGTGACAAGTTCAGGGAGTTCAGGGTTTGGACTTTAGGACCAGTTAGGGTTAGGCCCTAAAGGCTGCACCTGCGCTGCCTGCAGTTATCTACTATATGGGCCTTAGTAATTAAAACAGAAGAGGGTTTGGCGGGGCCATTTTGGGTGCCCATTATAGTATAAATATAGTAAGGAACCCCCAAAATAGTATTATTTATGCCCCTATATTATAGGATATTATAGGCTTGGCCAAGGATCGATTCCAGCGGCCGCTGCCATGTCAGAGTCACCAGCACCGTCCACAAGCCTTGGGGAGACTGCGTCTGGCTACGTATCGCGACTGCACAATTCATAGGGACCCTGAGGGTTCCTTAAAGGGCTCTTTAAAGGGATCTCTAGGGTTCCTTAAAAGGGATCTATACTTGGAGGCCCTTTTGACTTAGTAAGTAGGGTTAGTAGGGTGGGTTATGGGGATTATAATGGGGTTTCTAGGGGATACTAAGTAGACTTACTAAGTCAAAAGGGCCTCCAAGTAGGGACCCTGAGGGGGTAGGAGGAGGGGGGTAGGGGACTATGCTTACCTAACCAAGCCTTTGAAGTCCTTATCAGCCCTACCCCCCTACAAGTCTCTATGAACAATGCTTGAGATTTGTCCACACGCGGGGACCTGCATAGCATCATCCTCGGAACTAGCACAGACGATCCTTGCTGCAGTTCCCTCGCAAGAGCACTTGTGGTCGATATTTCCGCTTGTGGGGAATGCTGATCCTACCCTGCAAGAAGGAAACGCACCGGCATGATGGTGTTACTCTTCAGATACCGGTCCAATCCAACAGATCACCGCCCGCTAAGAAGCCACAACCCCTCTCCGTGCCTTAGCGACTCAGGCAAAGACATGGACAAAGCAGATGCATATCTCCGTTAACCTCCAATATCGGCAGAGCGTCCCGCACGCAGCATCGCCAGAGCAGCATCGTGAAATGGTGGAGGCGAACCCCCGTTATCCGAAAGGCTCTAATTTTGGTGGAAAGCGAAACGCCACAGCTGAGGTCCTGCTTTGGGGTTCAGAGTTAGTAGGGTTTAGGGTTTAGGGCTTAGGGTTTTTGTCCCGCCTACCTAGCAAGGACGAAGCCCGCATTGGCTTAGGGTTTAGGGTTTAGGAGTTAAGGGCTGAGGGTTCAGGGGGTTTGGGGTTTAGGTGTAGGCTCTGGGCGTTTCTTCGCCAATAACCACACAGCTCCAAGCTGCTATGAAAAGGAGCGACAGCAGGAAGTAGAGGCTGCTTGCAACGTGGTTATCATACAAGAAATCCTCTCTTATTCTAGCCCTGGGGCTCTTTGGCTTTTAGGTTGGAGGTGGTGCTTTTCAAACCGGCTTTCAAGCACCTCTTCTACCAGTTACGGTTGAGGGCTTGGGCCATGACGTATGATGCGGCGGGCACATGCAAGCATCAAGGATCGTTTGAAGGAACTAGTAAAAAGAGTTTCCTGGTTTCCTTGTTATGGTAACGTGCATTAAGTTCCTTGAACAAGAACCCTGTCATGCCATCGCCACTAGGTTGGCCCTCAACAGCCCCTGAAAAATGTAAGTAAGCAAGACCCTCTTAAGCTCGATCAGGGAGAATGTAGACTAGCTCAAAGGCCTGCCTACCCTTTTTGCCACTGGACTCAAGTCTAGCCAGTCTACGACCCACAATCGTCTTGACCGAGGCCGACATGCAGCACCGATACCCAGGCCTACCCTGAACCCTGAACCCTTTTTGAACGAGGTCTCTCCCTCCAACAACCCTGAACGCCCTCAACCCCAAACCTACCTAGTTAGAAAGCACGCCCTGTGGATTCTTCTGACGCGAGCCTTCGGCCAGGACAAGTTAAGGGCCACATCCCAAGCCCTACACCCTGAACCCTAAACCGCTAATGTCTGGTTTAGGGTTTAGCGATGCATCCGCAGAGTGTTAACTCCTTTTTTGGATTTGTGCTTGTTAGTTCCGACTAATACAGGGGGCCTTAGTAGTAAGAATAGGGTTTTGGGGCCCATTATACATGGACAACGCAACAGGTGTTCCCACATGAGCATCGACTTTCCCGGACTTTCAAACGGCAAGGGCAATGTCAGAAGAACATGAAGGACACCCAATATGAAGGACACCCAATACAGAAACTATGTTCATTGTTTTCGTCATGACCATGATCAGAAGAACTGCTTGCACCACCGGGCATAGTGAAAGTGTCACGGCTGAACATCATGTTCAATCTCGGAGTTTCGCAGACAAGGAGGGCTGCCTTAGGCTTGAAGTAGACTCCACTTGCCTCGAAACTGAAACGCTCCGAAACCTCAGCCTTACTCTGACACAAAAGTATGACTGACAAGCATAAGACGAAGAAGGAAAGCAACGGTCACTGTCAGGAAGAAGCCCACCCGACAGCCTGCCATCGCGGGGGCAGACCACGTCTGTGCCCTTCTTCCGGATCACGTCGGGTTCTATCCTCGCGCAAGTGCTTGGTCCGCTCACGGCATACGGGCTTCAGTTTTGGGGGGTTTAGGGGGTTTAGGCTGGGTTCACCCCGAAGCTGAAGAGATCCGAAATCCCAAAGCCGCACTGATAAAAAGCAGGAAGTTCCCTGTACTCCCAAACTCTAACGTCACTGGTCGAACGTTGTTGTTGCTTGAAGCTGCCTCCTTCCGCGTCGATACACACTCCACCAGGCCGACATCGGATCTGCATGCTGAATCATGAAAAGTTTCATGAAGATCTTGCAGTTGTCGCGGAAGGTGGTGACAGCACTTCTGCAGGGTTTAAAGCACTTATACGGAATTCACAGCATTTCTCACAGGGTTTCAGAGGCTCGTGGATAGTAAGTCACACATAAACCATTATGAACACCTGAATGGGAATGTAAACAATCTCACCTAGAATCGCGTTATGGGTGATGCTGCCCAAAGTAGCTGTGACTCTTCAAACGCCCTCAAAACCTCACAGAATCCTAAACCCAAACCCTAACCCCGGACCGCAAGCCCAGAGAGCCCAATACCCCTTAATTAAGGAATATAGCTTAAATCATAATATGAAGCCCTATATAATTTAAGCCATATTCCTTAATTAAGGGGTATTGGGCTCTCTGGCAGCATGCTGAGCCATGCTGTGCCAAGCATCTCGTACACTTTCGCATCACGCGAGAGGCCGGCTACGAACATCTCCTGAATCGAAACAGTGCATCTTGAAACTGGTTTAAGGCTTCAGGCTTCGGCTTTGGGGTTTGGAGCTCAGGCTTTTCGGATTTAGGGTTTAGGGCGTAGGGTTTAAGTTTAAGGTTCAGGGTTTGGGGTTTAGGGTTTAAGGTTTAGGGTTTATATTCAAGGTTTAGGGTTTAGGGTTGCGGGTTTATGGAGCGCTTCACGGGCCCAGGGTTCTGGAAACAAGGACGTTTCTGCACAGGTAGGTGGGAGGCTGAAGTCACAGAAGCCTTGGCCCAAAAAGGACCAACCCTTCCGAGCCACGAACCCGAAGACTCCTGTTGTAAATTTTAAACCCGTGCCAAGTTCTTCCGAAGTTGCAGTGGTGCCGGGCTCACTGCCATGCTCGTGCCTCTCTGCGTACACCTCAGCACAATCCTTCAAAACCTTATCTGCTCAAACCCGCCGAGCCAGGAAACTCAACATCCCTTACATGAGCATCCTGATACTGTACTGAGGATCCTAGTAAGGAACCCTTCATTGTAGTCTATCGGAGCCCTTCGCACTCACGAATTGCTCCTCCTGGAGTGTGGTGTCAATGTGGTGGACACTGACTGCCCGGTTCCACTTCCCCCGACTCCTGGCGCAGGTCGTAGCGGCAGAGGGTTTCGGCGCTCACACCCGGACAATCCGGGCGAGGCATGTGGTTCGGACTCTGGCATAGGGTTTAGTTTAGGATGAGTTAGGGGTTTTCCTTTGATCTTACCATCTGACATTGCATATCTGAAACCGGTTATCTTTCGCCGGGGCGGAGGTCGTAGCCGCTCCAGCGGCCTCCTTCCTCCTCTCCTCACTTCGCTGCCCCTGTCACTTCGTCCTCCCTTGCCCCTCTGCTCCCCGGCCCAAAGCGGTCTTGTGAGGCCCGGACAAAAATCCAGTGAAAGTGCCTTGGGCCTCTCATCGCGAGGCTGAATAGCATGCAGACGTACAGCTGACAGAGCTGAAGGAGACGCAGGGAGCGAGAGAGAGAGAGAGAGAGAGAGACATTCGGAACCTCGAATTCCCCAACGAGTTTGAAACAGCGTCCACAGGCATAGCCCAGACAGAGCTCTTCACCTGAGGCGAATTTCAACCCGAAAGCTGCAAAATGCCGCATGCAAGGGTGAAACGACAACGTACAATCATCCAAGTCCAATACAACTGTCCTCAACGAAGGGGACACCCTCATAGATTACACAGGATCTTGGGTTTAGGGCCGGAAGCTTGGGGTTTACCTTGCTCGAAAATGAACAGGCTAGCCGGAGAGCCTTGTTGCGGTCTGACAATGTGGACCAGGCTGTAGAAACCCAGGTTGATATGCAAGACTCACTTCCACCCGCCTGACTTCTTGCACATCACCCTCAGAGCACAGGATATAATTTGGGGCGCTGAAGCTGCGAAATGTTCCGACACAGGGCTGTAAACAAACTCGGCCTAAACCCCGATCCCCTCAAACGACTCATGCATGGCAGTCCTCTCGGAATCCTCCTCGAGGTCCATCACTTGTACCTGCACCCGCACCCACCGCACTACAGCTGCGGGGTGGACAGAGAAAAGAGACAGGTGGAAATAGGCATGTAGCACCTGCTCATGCAATTGTGCTCTACATGCATGTATGTCTGTACGTATGAGTGTATCTGTGAACACACATGTAAGTGTGTGCATATATAAACATATATACATATACATATATATATATATATATAATAGACAGATATAGAGAAAGAAAGAGGGGGGAGAGAGAGAGAGAGAGATGACTATATGTATGCATGTATGTATGTGTGAATTTTTTATTCGTTCATACACGCGTGCATCATTGCATGTGCAGCAGGGAAGCTGCCTGCCAGTTTTGTAAGAGAAGACAAGCATCACCCCGATAGAACCCTTGCCTTACAGAAACATTGAAGGAACCCTTTTTTCTAAACGCTACACCCCCAAACCCGAAACCCTAAACCCCTAAAGCCTAAACCCCTAAACCCCTACACCTCTCAACCCCTAAACTCCTAAACCCCAAAACCCCTAAACCGCCTAAACCCCTAAACCCCTAAACCGCCAAACCGTCTAAACCCTAAACCCCCAAACCCCAAACCCCTGAACCGCCGAAACCTTGAACCCTACCGGGGATAGTCACCTTCTCCTCCGAGTCCGGCGGCTTCTCGGACTCAGCGGCCTCTGGGGCCCAAGCGATGCATCGTTCATCAAACCTACTTGAAGGACCATGGGACTTAGGAAGGGGTCCTTAAAGGGATCCTTAAAGGGATCTATCTATAAGGGTTCTGTAAGGGAGGATCATGGGACTTAGTAAGTGGGGCTACAAGTAAGGGTATCTATACTAATAATTACCTATAACCCTAATTAAGGTACTTATAACCTTACTTACTGAGTCCCATCGTCCTCCAGGGTCCCAGGGCTCGGTTTAGAGAGGTCGGCGTCGGGAGGTTCATGACTTTGGGGCTTTAAGGTTTAGGGTCTTGATCGGGCTTTATAGGAGGCTTGGTTGGGTTCTGTCCGAGGTTCTGAGGGTTCTAGGGTTTAGGCTATTGGATCGATAGGGCGACTTAGGACTACGTCTCGGCTTAGATCTGAACGAAGCTTCAACAGTCGATATCAAAGCGTCAAGCTTGGTTTGGATTTCAGGTTCGTGACAGGGTCTTAGTAAAAGGTTAGTGAGGATCTGTATCGGGTCTATAAGAGGCTGAAAATGCTATGCCTAAACCGCCAATCCCAGGACTTTTTGCCTGGATTGGGGTCAGAGACTTTGGTGGGCACGTGAGTTCAACCACCAACCCAAAACTTGATTCGCAGCCACAAACCAAAACCATTCAAACATCTTACTAAAAATACGTCAACGTTTTGTGCTTCAATCCAAGCACCCCTAACGTCGAACTGGAAAGCACAAGAAGTAGAGGCTCCGCACCCTGCGTGGCCACCCGTACAAACCAACACACTGCGCGTTGTCCAAACGGGTTTTTGAGACACCTTGCCAGAACCTTGCTTCTAAAGTACCAAGCACACACCCAGCTACAGTATCAGAAACCCTGCATCCATAAACATGACAGCCAAAACCGAAATCCTACCCGAGGCCCGAAGCTTAGATCTTGAACCCCAATCTAAATCCGAAATGCTTCTAGAACCCGTGTAAGCACCCTCATGCCAACTCCTTACAGCCCAAACATCCTGAAAGTCTGTTTGCAACTGGGCGAAATCTTTTATCACAAACCCTTAAACCCTAAACTAATCCCCTATACCCCCATCCCGTTCTGCCGAGTGTCCTCGGCCTCTGCCGCCGCCTTCGGGCCTGCGGCCAGCGGATTTCGAGGCTGTTGGGTTTCGCCTTGTTGGAGGGTGTATAAGGTTTCGGGTGGAGCTACTGTGTGGCCGTGGTAGATCGGGTTGGGTGTTGATCTGCACTAACCCAGGCACTTCGGGAGAACCTTCCCGAGACGACTCCGAAAACGCCGTCGCGGAACCTGGAAAGGCGACCGGGTTTAGGGTGTAGAGTTTAGGGGTTCAGGGGCTGCTCAGGGTTCGTTGTAGGGGATACTAAGTAGACTTACTAAGTCAACAGGGCCTCCAAGCAGTGGCAGCCTACATCTCCCGGCGTCAACAAGGAGCCTCGGCATGGCTTCTTCTACAGAAGCCGCCAATACTATTTTTTGGGGTTCCTCATAATGGTTGTGGTATTATATGCCCCAAAATCTTATTCTAATTTTTTGAGGTACTAGTTACGAGTTTGCATCGAAAGTAAGCCACTTCAACCACAATCTCTCGTTTTCAAAGCCCAAACATACATCTCATTGTTGACAGACAGTTGACAGGAGTCTGCTGCGATGATGCTGCGATGAAGGCCTTTCAATTCGCACAACACTCTTCTCGAAAAGAACCTCTACAAATCCCCAACCCTGGACCCTAAGACACTAACCCCCAGAAAATCTGAAACCCGAAAAGCCCGAAAGCCCTGCCCCTTAAAACCGTGCTATCTTTGTCGCTCCTTAGGCTAACCCCTAACACAACCCCAAAGATCCCAAAACAACCCTCAACCCGACAGTGCTAACCCTAAAGCCTAAACCCTCAACCCTCAATCCGAAAATAAGTAAACCGCCTACCCGAAAGGAGCCTCGGCGTTTCAACCCAAAACCCTTTTGCAACAAAACCCTGACCCCTGAACCCTGAATCCTAGATTCACCGTACATTGTAAATGTTATAACAGGTTGCAGAAAACTGTAGCAAATTATACTATGTAGTAGATAGTATACTGTAGTATACTACACTGTATAGTAGCACATTACAGTAGGTCCTCAACCCTTTCTAAACTGCCTGGTTCTTAGTAGGGAATGGGGGAACGGATATGGATACTATTATTGGGGATTATATAGGGACTACTATAGGGATCCATTCCCCCATTCCCAAAGACTCCAATATCCCTTAAATAGTAGGATCCCTAATATAATTTCAGGAACATTCCTTAATTAAGGGATGTTGACGTCCCCGGGTACCCTCCTAAGAACCGGGGCGTAAAGGAGCCTCGGGTTGTCATATATTACCGTACACTGTAGTATATTATGCTGTATAGTTGCACATTATAGTATATCGTATAATCTACTAAAGTGTAGTAATACGCTATAATGGTATAGCATACTAAAGTGTAGTAATACATCATAATAGATCCTCAACCCTTCCGAAGGAGCCTCGGCGCTTCGACCTCGTCTCCACCACCTCGCGAGGCTCCGGGGTCTCTCGCGGCTCGGGCCTGACCGGGCCGCGAAGCGGGGGCCGGGGGGCTCAAGAGGGCGGTGTAGGGTTTAGGGTTTAGGGTTTCGGCGCTCACACTCGGACAAACCAGGCGAGGCATATGGTTCGGAGTCTGACGATGTGAAACGTTCTAGAGGGACAGTCAAATGACCGATCTCAAGCAACAAATTCAGAACAGATGAAGTAACTGTGGGACAAAGTTTAGGGTTTAGGGTTTAGAGTTTAGGGTTTAGGGTTTAGAGTTTAGGGTTGAGGGTCTAGGGCTCAAGAAGAAGGATGCTTTCCTAACTTGGGGTTCAGTTTGAAGGTCTCGTGGGAATCTTTTAGTTGTTTTTTGAGAAGGGGTGGGCCTTGAGATTTGTATGGTACTCAGGCATAGCACTACATTCTTCACAGGCCCTAGATTCAAGCTATGGGGTCTATTTTAGGGTTTAGGGTTTAGTTCAAGATATGGGGTTCAAGCCTTTAGCTTAGCTCCCACACCCTCGCTCCTGGCACCCCAAAAACACTAAGAACTAACCTCTAAACGCTTGTGGGTCTCTCGCAGTTCCCTATAGTATCCTCATGGTCATACACCCTTGACTGCTGCCACTAAAACCCTACACCATGTGAGCTCACAGGTTCAGGGTCACATCCCACCACTAGGATCGTTGTAACTGTCTGACCCCACTTTTTGCTTTCCTGAGCCCGAAAACCCCTTTACACCTGGACTATGCATATGCCAGGAACCGAGGCGCCGACTGTGCTGTGGACTCGTGCCCCGAAAACCCTGAACCCTAAACCCTTGCACCGAAAACTCTAAGACTTTCAATAGTACTCCCTACCCTATAATGGGCTATATAATGGGTATATAATAGCTATATCAAGGTTCCATACCTCCCTATGCGCCCCTCGCGCATCCCATGAAGAAAGCGGCTTCCTAGCCTCGTCTCTGGGAGAGCAGCCGGTCCTTCAACGAGGGCAGGACAAGGCAAAGTTTAGAGTTTCGTGTTTAGTTGGCGATGCTTCACCTTAACCCCAAGTAACCTACCTTTTTAAGGACTTATATAAAGAAATCATATTAAGGAACCCTAAAAATGTAGGTTCCTTAGGGTCCAGGCAGTACTTAATAGTTAGAATAGGGTTTGGGGGTGTTGCTTTGCTTTAACTATATGGAACCCCCAAAAATAGTAGAGGTAATTATTAGGGCCCCTACTGCTTTGTCCGCAAAGCATGAAAGGCTTGGGTTTCAAACTCAGGACCGGCTTGAGTGACATATGGGGGCCTTCGTAATTAGAATAGGGTTTTGGGGCGATTATACTATAACATGAATAAGGAACCCGCAAAATAGTATTGGTAATTAGTTAGGGCCCTGTAGTGGCAGTGTGTGGCCTATTTGGGCTGCAGGCGGCTTCTGTTGCCTCCCGCATTGCAAGGTTTGACCGTAATTTAGTGCTGTCTGCAAGGCATCCGCTGAGGTCCATTTAGAGTTTTGGCAAAGGGGTTCGGGTGGCAGGGTTGCACGCATACTGTGTTCTGACACTCCCTCTACCGGTGCTAGAACCATTTAGTGCTAGAACCATTTTACACTTTTGCTTAGCACAAGTACATATTCCGGCAAGTACTATTACGGTCATAATCATGATTGCGGAAGATGTGGGATCTTCGCTTAGTTTTGAGGCATAGGGTCGCCATCGCCCCTGAAGTGGTTGTGGACTGTCCTCAGTCCTGCTGTTGTGTTCTGCCTGCTGCGATTGCAACATTTGCCATTAACCAGGCCATTCTCAATCAATTCTGTCATTTGTGCGTTTCCGCAAATTGGGGGATACCTTATTGTGGGTCCTTATAATAAGGGTTCTACTATTTAGGGAACTATATATTGGGGTACCCCTAATTTTCGGAAACTCCCATTTGGAGTGCTAGTCGTCAGCCCGTGAGGAATAAAGATGTATATAAGCGCAGCCCAGGATCTGAAACGTCTCAGACAACACCCTGGAAATACGCCCGGTGCGATGCTATTATCTTACCTTTGGTGAGTAGGGAATGGAGGAATAGGATACCATTACAAGTACTATTTTACTATTACTAGCAATCTTCCATTCCCTACTAACCACAGGTAAGTTATTGGAACACCAGGGCCAGAGCAGACGCCAAACTCGACAAGGCTCATGGCAACTGCACCCTTTTGGAACGAGGTCTTTCTGAAGTGCCTCCCTGCCTCATCGATGGCTCGTGCATCACAAGGCATGAAATGCGCCAGGCACCCTTTTTGCCCCTGGCGCCCTAAAACCCAAACCACTCTGCATACTCTACGTGACTCGAAACCCTCAGAAAAGCTCAGAGCCTGGATAAGGGCCTTTATGTTTAGGGTTTAGGGTTTAGGAAAAAGGGTCTATAGGGTTTAGGGTTTAGGGTTTTTAGGGTCCTTGACATGACGGCAGGGGCCCTGCGAATCCCCATCCTGCAACCACAGACTCCAAGCCCTCACCACAAGGGAAACTTTCTTCAAAAGCCCCTACTTGGGATACCTTAACAGTTAGAATAAGCAAGACAGCAAAGTCTCAATTAATCCCCTGAAGCCTTCACCCTAAGCCGATGTGACATAGTATGACGGTCCTGGCTGCTGGGTGCTAAATGCAGGGATCTCTTCCAAGCTGGGCGCATCTTCCGGCTTGGCCTTCCGAAGGAAAGCTGCTTCCCGGTTTTTGTTGGGTTTCTTTAAAGGGGTTCAAAAGTTTAAGGGTTTTGGACTTAGGGTCTAGGGTTTGAGCTTCGGGGTTTGGGGTTCGGCAATACCAAGCATTACCTCCAGGGTTGGGGGTTCAGGGTTTAGGGCATAGGGTTGCAATGTTCAAGATTAGGGTTCACGGTTTAGGTAAGCTTAGGACTTAGGGTTTTCAGGGTTCAGGGTTTCGGGGTTAACGGTTAAGGGCTTTGGGCTCCTCGGCGGGTTCTGTAAAGGCTCATTAGCTTCCTGTTTAGGATTTTTGCTAGGGGGTTCATATATGTTCAATGGTGATATAATGGGTTTGCAAGGGGTTGTGTATATTAACAACTTCGCAACAGCCGGTTTTTGGAGCAGCACAGGCAGTGCGTGAAGTAGTGGTACCTCTTCCTGTTCCCAGATGCATGGCCAAAGGGTGGCATCAGCACCGAAGACCTTGCACTTGTCCGCATTGCATTCCAGCAAAGGACTCACAAACTTCGACTGCTGCGCCGCATCACCGATGCTTTCTTCTTTTGTTCTTGTCCGTGCTAGACTCCTGCAAAAGGCGTACAACCCCCAGCTGCCCCTCCTGAGCCGCAATGAACAAAGGGGTGCCGCCGTCCTGCGTGGCCTTGTCCTTGTCTGCATTGCTCTCCAGCAAAAGGCGTGCAACCTCTAGCTGCCCCTCCTGAGCCGCAATGAACAACGGGGTGGCGCCATCCTGCGTGGCCTTGTCCTTGTCTGCACTGCTCTCCAGCAAAAGGCGTGCAACCTCCACATGCCCTTTCTCAGCTGCAATCGACAACGGGGTGGCACCATCCTGCGTGGCCTTGTCCTTGTCTGCATTGCTCTCCAGCAAAAGGCGTGCAAACTCCACATGCCCGAACTCAGCTGCAATCAACAACGGGGTTCGGCTATCCTTGTCGGCTTTGTCCGTGTCTGCATTGGCCTCCAGCAAAATGCGTGCGACCTCCAGCTGCCCAGTTTGAGCTGCAATGAACAACGGGGTGACGCTATCCTTGTCGGCTTTGTCCGTGTCTGCATGGGCCTCCAGCAAAAGGCGTGCAACCTCCAGCTGCCCCACCTGAGCCGCAATGAACAACGGGGTGGCGCCATCCTGCGTGGCCTTGTTCTTGTCTGGATTGCTCTCCAACAAAAGGCGTGCAACCTCCACATGCCCGAACTCAGCTGCAATCAACAAAGGGGTGGCACCATCCTGCGTGGCCTTGTCCTTGTCTGCATTGCTCTCCAGCAAAAGGCGCGACCTCCACATGCCCGAACTCAACTGCAACGAACAACGGGGTTTCGCCATCCTGCATGGCCTTGTCCTTGTCCACGTTGCTCTCCAGCAAAAGGCGTGCAACTTCCAAATGCCCTTCCTGAGCTGCGATGAACAAAGGGGTGGCGCCATCCTGCGTGGCCTTGTCCTTGTCTGCATTGCTCTCCAGCAAAAGGCGTGCAATCTCCAGCTGTCCCTGATGAGCTGCACTAAACAGCGGCGTGATGCCATTCTGCCTGGCCTTGTCCGTGTCAGCATTGGCCTCCAGCAAAAGGCGTGCAACCTCCAAGTGCCCGAACTCAGCTGCAATGCACAAAGGGGTAGCGCCATCCTGCATTGCCTTGTCCTTGTCCGCGTCGGCCTCCAGCAAAAGGCGCACAACTTCTGTTTGGCCGTGCTCGGATGCCTCGAAGAGAGGGGCCGGATCGCCCAAATCTGGGTCTTGCGCCTTTGTAGAAAGGTCTCCACTTCTGCTGTCAGGCCAATTCTAGCTGCATCCCGAAGTGCTGTGACTTGAGGGTCCGATGCTGGGCAGAAGCTTAGAAGTACGACCTGAGCTTCACCAGGTCTCAGGGTGCCATCGTCATCTAGAACCACCTTGTCATCCAAGAATACCAGCCTTTGTCTGAATCTTGACACACCACAAATGCTGTGCAAGTGTTGCTTCAGTGCCCGAACGGGATTCATGCCGGCAGGCTGCATCTCGAGAAAGCTCGCCAAGTCAATGGCAACGAGTTCTGCAGCCGACACGGTCTGAATCCGCAGCATGGCAGATGCTAGGCCGAAGAGAGGTGGACTCCGAAAAACAAGCTTAGCTACATCTGCTCTGTTCTTCAAACCAGGCTTGGGCTGTTGATCCGCCTGCTGCGTCCATAGATGTTGTGCCGTAGATTTTGTGGTCAGGGGTTGAGAGTTTAGGGGCTTAAGCTTCAAGGTTAAAGACTTAAGGTTTAGGCTTTGGAGTTTGGGGCGAGGGGCTGCGACGGCCAACAATAACAAAGACGAACACCTCTACCTCTGCGTTGCTCATAAGCCCTACACTTCAATGACTAAACCCCAAGCCCTAAACCCTAATCCGCAAATAAGTACACCCTATGGGATATGAGGCGAACTTTAGAAGCCCTAGCTTTATGGTTGAGTGCACATCTTTTGCTCGACGATGCCGCCTGGCAAGAAATAGAAAACACCAGGCAACCCAAGTCTGCAAATGATAATTAGAATCGGGTTTTGTTTTAGAATCGGGTTTGCTGCTATCTTACACAAGATTTTCCATATGGAGGCCCCAAGATAGTATAGGTGATTATGAAGGCCAATGAAGGCCCCTGTGTTGCGCATGTGGTTTCGACTCGCACACTCGCACGCAGGCAAGAGCGTCTCAGAACTAAACCCGAAACCCTAAGCAGCAGCTCATAGGGCCAAGGGTTTTAATAGGGTTTAGGGTTCAGGGTCTAGGGCTTCACTTCTCCACTTCTCAGCCTTCAAATCCGAATGTACATCTTTACCTAGTAGCGCATATCCCTGCAAACGCATAGGTGAAAGTAAGTAACTATGTATATGTATATAGATATGTGTATATATAGAAATATGGTATCCCCCCCCCCATGGATCCACCTTTTTCGTGTGTTTGTGAGCCACATCACACGAAAATGGAAGATCCTTGAGGGGAGGGCCTACCCGATGGACCGTTTTGTGGCTGGGTGAACTCCACCCTGGCCCGATTGAGTTCAATCGGGCCGATTGAATTCAGTCGCCCCCCCCCCCCGATTGAGTTCAATCGGGGCCGATTGAGTTGAATCGGGCGCCGGATTGAAGATTGAAGATTCCCTCGAAAACTTTGCCGGGGAATCTTCAATCTTCAATCTTCAATCCGGCCCCCGATTGAGTTCAATCGGGGCCGATTGAGTTGAATCGGGCGCCGGATTGAAGATTGAAGATTCCCTCGAAAACTTTTGCCGGGGAATCTTCAATCTTCAATCCGGCCCGCGATTGAGTTCAATCGGGGCCGATTGAGTTGAATCAGGGCCGCTTGACTGCAATCGCGCTTCGTCCCAAGTGGGCGGTTTCAGGTTCAGGGTTGAGGAAATTGAATTTGATGTGCCGAACGTGTTTACCAGGATCTCGAGTGCTGAGTGCTGGTGAGCGGTTTTTCAAAATGATGGCAAGCGTTTTTTTTGGTCTGTGAATATTGGTGAAATCACCAACGGGTATTCAACAGGATTCATAAAGGTATAAAGGGTTTCTATAATCTATGGGTATCCATATGAAATTTTTAAGATGTAAAGGAGGAGTATCGTGTAAGGTGTTCTATGCAGAGCATTCTGCTCCTGATTATCCTGCCATTAATCCGTTATCTAGAAAGTACTCTACAAGGCATTCTATGGTGCATTCTACGGGTATGTTATAGAATATCCGCTAGGTTTTCTTTAGGACTTCCTATGGGGTACTCAGAGGGTATCATAGATATTGTGTATTCTGTAAGCTAGTCGGTAGGGAAATGCAGATGATATTGTACAAGGCCTATAAAAGGCCAAGTATGTAACGTTGTTTCGGGCTTTCTATCGGGTACTCCATAACGCATTGTATAAGGGATTGTACAAGGCATCAACATGAACGTAAAGATTATCTTACAGAACGTGTTCTATAACGTAATGTATAGGCTATACGGCTATAAGGTACTCAAGAAGATATCTATGAGGTATATAGGGGATATTCTATAACGTCTTACCTGGGGTCACCTGTACGAAATTCTTTGGGGTTTGTGGTATTCTTTAGGTTATTATCTTCGACTCCTGGATCACTCCTAGAAACCCCTTACCCAATAGGCTGCTTCTTTATGAGGGGTTCTCAGATCTTGGGGTCGTTGAAAGGTTATCTATAGGTACTCTTACTTCCCAAATACCTATGGGGGTGTAAGAAGTTTAAACTTTCGCAACAACATTACCTTATTAGGGGCCAAAAGTTGAAAAGTTTGGTTTTGAGCCACTAAATGTTATATGGGTTCATGGTATATATACTGTATACAACGACTGTCATGTATAGGGCCATATGGGCATCCTGTAAGGTCTTCTATAGAGTATTCCAGACGGTCTTCCATGAGGCGCACGACATATAGAGGGTAGTATGTGTTCCATAAGGTATTTTGTAGGGTATTCTATGTCGTATTTTGTAAGGTATTCTAGATATTCAAAAGATATACGGACTGTGACTGAAAGTATATAATAAGGTATTCTCGAGGCTCTAGGGTATTCATTAAGGCATGAAGGTATTCTATATCAGTGCATTCCATATGAAAGGCTTTACGATACATAGAGAAAGTATTCCAAAGGACATCCTGCAAGATATTCTATATAGTGTCTTGTATAGAGTGTCCTATAGGGTATGTGTAATATAATGCGTGCGGGGTGTATCCTATATAGGTGGTCTTGGAGACGGTATGCGACAGGATGTTCGGGTGGATTTCTATAAGATATAAAGGTTATGTGAGTGGAATTTTGCAAAGTATTCTTAAATGTAATTTAAAGGGTACTATATTGGTGAAACACAAGGTATTGAACCCTGGAAATATCGATAGATTTCGTGTTCGCGGATATTATCTATAATCCCGATGCGTCCTATATATGGGACGTGTAGAAATAGGGTCCTCTTTTCATATCTATACTTGTCGTGATACGGGATGACATATCTTTGCTCTCCTGTTGCGTGTTACCTTCACAGCCCATACTGCTGCATGTAAAAACCTATACACACACAGAACATGCATGCAACCTTGCGTTCTTTTGCAACACGAGAAGAAGCCGTACGCGAATGTATGTCGCTTGGAAAAGCTCAGTGTGTATATGAAGGAAATGCAGAATTTAGGATCTGCGAAATCTTTGATCGAGTCGAAGCGTATTTAGTGAAGGACTTATAAAGAGAAGGGAATACGTTATAGAATATCAACTATTTCCCATCCGGCTCTCAAACACACGAAAAAGGTAGATCCTTGAGGGGGGGATAGCAGAAATATATGTATATATATATATATATATATATACACGTATATACATATATATATATATATATATGTATACATAGGTGTATATATATATGCATATATAAACATGTATATATAGATGTGTATGTGTGTGTATGTATGTATATATATATATATATATATATATATATATTTATATATATATATATATATATATTTATATATATATATATGTATATACATATAATTATGTGCGTGTGTGTGTGTCCACGTGTATGTGTGTGTATACTTACATATATGATGCGAGATTGTAGCTGTTGCAGTTGTTTGCATGAGTTCTCTGCTGTAGGATGGCTGCAAAAAAAAAAAAAGCTCACGGGACATGAGATGCACAAGAAGCACTACCACGCTAAGAAAATCCAGGCCTGTTTGGAGACCATGCCAGGGCTTTCCGCAGGGGGATCGGCATGCTCACGGTGCAGCCGCAGTTCCGCACACCTCGGGAAGGCAGAGGCCGCGTGACGTCAAGCGGCCAAGGCAAGGGATGATTCTCCAAGAGAGATCGAGAAAGTGTGGGGAGGGAGAGCAGTGCGGGGTGAAGTACTGAAAGACTGAAGACATTCAGGCCTATATTCATGCTAGTGGCCAGAGCGATTCACTGATTCACTGAGATTGTGTGATGTCTATGATGATTCATCCTAAACTCTGTGTACATAACCCGATTGCCCTGAACCAACGACGATTCCAGTTCTTGCGTCTGCTTTCCTCTACCAGAAAACAGCCCCGGAACTCGCATCGGCAAAAAAAAACACACGTCTCCGGATAAAAAACTGGACGCCCTCTCTGCCTCTCACCCCTCTTCGGATCACCCTTTGCTAATTGGCAAAGTCCAGCCTGAAATCCGGACCGCAGCCCTGCATCTCATGTATTCATCTCATGTATTCCTGCAGCCAATACCCGACCCCTTGGCCCCAAACCACTTCGCCGGGTTTAGGGTCGAGGGCATACCCCTAAGCCCTAAACCCAGACCAGAATCTAAAAAACGCACCGAGGTCAGCACAGCGAGGCGAACTCCTCGGACACCTTGGAGGTCACTTCGCGCCTGGGTGGTGAAGCGCTCTCTTTCGAAGGACATGGTTTCGGCTTTAACTTTAGGATGGCCTCCTACTCTTTAAGCCGACATATGAAGATCTGAAGACTTGAAACCTCCCTGGCCCAACTTGCTTCGTAAGCCTCCCCAGAGAGCCCAATACCCCTTAATCAAGGCATCTACCTCAAATCATAACATTCAGGCCCCTTTTTGCAGCAGGCCTCGTTGTCCAGCCCGGAGGCCCCTAAAACTTAAGCCATGTTCCTTGAATTAAGGGGTATCGGAGCCCTAAACCCTAAACCCTATAGATCCCTTATAGATCCCTTAAAGGAACCCTAGGTATTCCTGAATTAAGGGGTATTGGGCTCTCTGGGTCAAGGCAGAGAAGGGTTTCTTGAGCTGTGGACTCCGGCTCTTGGACTACCTTCAAGGATCGCCATCTAGGGTGGTTTAGGGTTTTGGGTTTAGGCTTTTGGGTTTTGGGTTTAGAGTTTAAGGTTTTGGGTTTAGGGTTTAGGGTTTAGGGTGTGTGAGGGCATGCAGTGGTCGTAAGGCGCGGGATGCACCAGAGTAACCACGAGTACTACCACTCAGAAACAGAAATATATGAAAAGTCATATATCAAGTCATCATCATCATCGACGCACCATGTGATAAAAGAAAATTCTGCATTGACGTGAATATCTTGGGACTCTTGTTTTAATTCCAACCATGCTTGAGGTTCTGGACGTAATGATTAGCAAACCGTAATCGCTTCGAAACCCACCCGAAAGCCAAGTTTCAAGCCTTTGAGCCTTGAACAGGGGTTTGCGGTACTCGTGCATAGTTACATTAAAGAGTTCTTAGGAACAGTATTACGAATTACATGGGCTTCTACACCAAAAACCCTACACTGCCCCATGACAGTAACCCTTGTAGCAGCCCCCTTAAAAGAAGCGTCTATTACGCCACCACCGCTACACCGCACGCGAACTCCAGCCGAGCGACACCGCCGAGGCGAGCATAGCCTCGAGCTGCCGCGTAAAAGTCTCGGAAAGGTCTGCTTGCCTTAGCAGGTGTGCTTAGGGGTTTTAGGGTTTAGGACTTGAAGGGTTTTAGGGTTTAGGGTCTAGGGTTTAGGGTTTAGGGTTTTGGGCTTTACGCTCTCAGAACTCGGACATGCCGGGCGAGGTCTGTCAGGAGCAAATCAGCGTGAAACTAGTTGCCTCCCCATACTCGCACTATCCAACGCAACACGAACGAACCAAAAAAAGCACTAATTAGATTATAAGGGGGAGGCTGGCAAAGGTTTTGGGGCTTCAGGGCTTTACAGATTAGGGCTTAGGGCTTGGGGGCTTTATGGTGTAGGGGCTTCAATCGCTTTTAATGCTTCTGGGAGCAAGGACATATTAGGATTCAGGCCGTAGAATTCGGAGATTGGGTGCATAGGCGGGTTTAAGCTCGAGGGTGCGCGGCTTGAGCTTCAGACGAAACACCCAATACTCTTGCGACAATGCTGACCAAGGCTAGATGTGGCTGTGTTTTTTGTCTACGACCAGGCCCTCTTTCAAAGAGTAGGCTCAAGAACCACAGGCTGCAAGTTGCCAGCTCACCCCAAAGCAACCCTGCATCCGAAAAAAGCCGCAGAGCCCTAACTCTAAACTCTAAACCCGGAGCCCCACGAACTCTAAAGCCCCCACATAAACTGCAACCGAAACCCGAAAAATTCCGAGACCTACCTGACCACAACGTCCGAAACAAAAGAGGCAAGTTTGAGGTGATTTTGGGGTTTTAAGCACTAAGCCCTTTTTTCGCAGCAGGCCTCGTTGTCCAGCAGCCCGGTTACACTAAGCCTCACTAAGCCCTAAACCCTGAACCTTAAACCCTCAGCCCTAAACCGTTTTGGGCTGACTTGCTAAGAAGATTAAGGGACCGCAACAAGCCGGCAAAGAGGAATTCTGCAAGCTGCTTAAGCAGAGTTTCAGTAGGTTTCTGTGATCAAGGAATTCCAAAGAAAAAAGGTGGAGCTCTCCTAATTGGAACCCAGAGAATTAAAACGCAAAGCCCCACCAAACTCTGCAGAAGCCCTGCAGAAAATTTTTGGAATCTAGAACCCCAGAGAGACCTTCTATAACCCTCTTTGGACCCCTTTCGAACCTTTACGGAGCCCCTACGGAAGCCCCTGTACAACCTGGCAAGAGCTCGTGCACAACCCTAGAAAATCCCATACAAAACAAAGCACAACAAACAACTGTAATTATTGAAGCCCCTCCGTTACAGCCCCGACCCTCAAGCCCTATAAAAAGCATTTCGATGCCCCCGGCGGTGCCTCTCCGTGGAGGTACCGGGACGTCCAGGGGCCATACCGGCCGACATGTCCTGGACGAGGCGCTTTCCGGGCCAAGGGCTGAAAAGGATGGACAAGTCAGGCTCCAAGGCAGAAAAAGGGATTAGATGGTCTAGGATTTAAGGTTTAGGGTTTAGGGCTCACGGTTTACATGGTGGAGGGTTTCAGGTTTAGGGCTTGGGGGTTCGGGGATTGCAAAAGGATTTACAGTGGTTTGCGGGTGCCTTGGAAAGTTTAAAGCGGATCTAGAGTGTTTGTTGTAGGGGTTCTTGGTGTGTTTAGGATTTAGGGCTTCAGGGTGCAGCAAGGGTAGGTGGGGGAACAGAGACACGCACTCACACACCTCTGAGGTTTTATTTACATATCTTATTTATTTATCTATTTATTTATCTATGTATTTACTTCTATATGTACACACAGATACTTATGTACATACGTACATATACATATCTTTCGCCTTGAGCCGTCATCCTCTTTGTGCGGTCCTCGATGCGGCGGCCCAAGGATTCGAGTTCCCGGAAGAGGTCGAGCTGAACCTTTCGGGAACCCTAGGCCCTAAACCCTAAAGGTTAGGGTTTGGGGTTCAAGATTCCCGGGCTCCTTTAAAGGGTGCTTTTGTGGCTCCTTCAAGGGATCTATAGGGTTTCGGCGCTGATAGGGTTTAGGGTTTAGGCTTGTTGGGGTTGGGGTTTAGGAGTCCAGCGTTCTAGGGTTTTGAGTTTAGGGTTTAAGGGTTCAGGGTTTGAGTTTAAGGTTTTCAGTTTCGGGTTTTGGGGTTTAAGGGTTCAGGGTTTGGGGCTTAGAGGTTGAAGGGTTTGATGCTTCAGGGTTCAGGCCTTTTTTGGGATGTGGGGCTGAGGGTTGCAGGCTTCAATGCGTACCTTTGGGGCATCCTTTGCTGCAGCTAGAACACGGTTTAGGGTATACGGTTTATTTTTTAAAGTGTACTGCACCTTTGACTCCTGCAGGCAGAGTGGACAGGCACTGCTCAGAATTACGGTTTAGGGTTCAGGGTTTAGAGTTTACGTAGGGTTTTAGGGTTTTGGGGTTTTGGGCTTAGGAGTTAGGGTTTAGGGGAACTCCTTCCCTGATGGCGGCTTCGATCACCACGTACACCAGCAGGGTCTAGGGCTTTGGATTTAAAGTTTTTTGCCTCCTGCATAGGCAGTGCATAAGGTTTAGGGCTTTGGCTTTAAAGATTTTTGCCTCCTGCATAGGCAGTGCATAAGGTTTAGGGCTTTGGCTTTAAAGATTTTTGCCTCCTGCATAGGGTTTAGGGTTTAAGGGCAATCGCAGTATCCATGGCACCGCATTCTCAAAAACAGCTATCAGCAACCCGTCTCCCTTTTGCAGCAGGCTCCCTAAAACCCTAAACCCTTTTGTACGCCTCAACCCAAAAGCCTTTTTTGCAGCTGGGCCGTTAGTGTCTCTCTCTCTCCCAGGCATTCGGCACGTCAAGCCTGACGGAAGGGCTGCACTTGCCCTTTTTTTGAACCCAGACTCTGCCGATCAGCTGGGAAGCACTGCAAGACTTTCAATCGCAGCACAAAGGTGACCTTCTCATCACTACAGAAACCCTAAACACTTTTCAGCATGGGCATGGATTGTGCGCCAGCGAACACTCCCCAACAGCTGGGCCTTCTCGTTTGACGAGGGATGCAAACGCGGGAGTGAAAGAAACACGAAAAGTGAAACCCTAAACCCCTAAACACTTAACAGGCTTAACAGCTGCGGTGCACTTCGACCACGCCTGGAAATCGAAGACGTGCCTGGCGCTGGCGACTTCGGCCTTCCCAGAGAGCCCCATGCCCCTTAACTTAGGAATACTTAGGGTTCCTTAAAAGGGCTCCTTAAAGGGATCTATAAGGGTTCTATAAGGGAATTATGGAATATGGCTTAAATTATGCCCCTTAATGAGGGAATATATCGAGGGTTCCTTTAAAAGGTGCCTAAAAAGGATCTATACGGGATCTATAGGGATTAGGGTTTCCGATACCCCTTAACTAAGGAATATGGCCTAAATTATAAGGGGCCCCATATTATGATTTAAGCTATATTCCTGAATTAAGGCGTATTGGGCTCTCTGGGTCGTTACCCGGCTGGCAAACAGGGTGTCAAATTGACGGTAGAGCTAAAGTCTACCATGAAATACTATGACATGCCATAATACGCGGTAATGTACTAACATATACGATAGTATACGACACCATACTGTGATAGACCAGAATGTATTGAATTTACTATACACGTCAGCTGTACAGTTTTGAGGGTTACGTTCGGGCTCTCGCAACTCGGATTCTAGAGGTGAGGCTCTTAGGGCTTTAGGGCTTGGGGTAGGGTTTAGGGTTTAGGGGTTCCCCAGCCCCAGATTCATCCAGCCCTCTTCGAAAGCCTGTTTGAAACCCTACAGAACCATCAACCCAAAGCCTTTCCAAACTCCTCTCGTGCTCTCAATCTCGTTGCATACAACCCCAGGTCCCCAACACCCTCAACCCTTTATGCGACTCCCAACCCTCAACTCTCAACCCTTCCGTGCAAACCCTGGCACCCGAAACACCCAAGTCCCTCGGTTTAGAGTTTAGGGGCTTAGGGGTTTAGGATGGTTTCGGCGCTCACGGTTTTTTTCCCCGAACCTGCAAACCCCTACACCCTAACTCCGCCCGGTGGGGAGGACCTCTGCCACCCCCAGGAGCGCTGCATTGGGCAAAAGCCTCCAAAAACCGACGAACTGAGGCTTCCCAGTCCCAGGAAGGAGGTTTAGGGTTTGGCGTTTTAGGCTTCGCGTTTCAGCATTCACAACCGGGACGTGGCTTTAGGTTTTAGGCTGCCTACGGGACAAAGTTTTGTGCATGCGGGCTCTACAATGGCTCTGAGAAGGTTTCCGAGGGCTTGTGGCGGTTCGTAGACCTGTTCACAAAAGGTTTTTGCACAAGAGGGGCTTTATGTGGTTTCTCAGGACTCTATAACGGCTGTGGTGTGCTAAGCGCAGTTCTGGTTTGGGCTTAAGATGGCTTAAGCTATTTAGGCAATTACATTTCTGGTTTCAGGGTTTTGTGGAGTAGGGGGTTCATGGGTGCACGGATTCAGGTGACGGGGTTCAGAGTTCGGCGGTATGGGGGTGCCGGGGTGCGGGGCGGCCAGTGGTGCGGGTTGCTTGAAAATCAGATTCCTCTCAACAGCACTTGTCGCGCAGTATCAGGAGCAGTAGAAGTAGAAGTAGCTGTAGCAATAGCAGAACCAGTAGCAGGAGCAGGGGCAGGAGCAGCGCAAGCAGCAGCAGCAGCAGTAGCAGTGGCAGTAACAGTAGCAGCACCCGTAGCCGTAGCCGTATCCGTAGCAGTGGCAGTAGCAGCAGCAGCAGTAGTCGCCGTAGTACTAGTTGTAGCAGTAGTAGCAGTAGTAGCAGTAGCAGCAGCATCAGCAATGGCGGTAGCAGTAGTAGTTGTAGTAGTCGTAGTAGTAGTCGTCGTCGTAGTCGTCGTCGTAGTAGTAGTAGTAGCAGTAGTAATAGTAGTAGTGGTAGTAGTAGTAGTAGTAGTAGCAGCAGCAGAAAGAGTAGGAGTCGGAGTAGGAGTAGGAGTAGGACGAGGCGCAGGAGGAAGGGAAGCAGCAGCACCAGCGCCAGCAGCAGCAGCAACAACAACAACAACAATGGAATTTTGTAGTTACCTGTTCATGTCGTTGCAGCAGCTTAGGATGTTGAGGGCCGGGGAGGGGCCATGGTCAAAGATTTGCAGTAACACTTTCCCGCAAGGCACGAAAGATTGTTTGGATGCTCCAGCGCCAACAGATATGCAAGATGGCACACAAGCTTCAGTAGTCAGCTCTTGTAGCGGACTCTGATGTTCTTCGAGAAAGCGTCGTCCCGGTAGCGAAGAATGTTCTTCACCAGGTCCAGCTGCTCTGTCAGCCGCTTCTTCGAGCCACGCGAGCGCTCGTCGTAGGCCATTTCCTCTCTTCTGCAACAACCGCGCCCCAAAAAGTTCAAACTTTCTAAAATAGAGCAAATATATAAGGCCAAAAAGTTTAAAGTTCCCCTGTTCACCATCTAAGTTTCCACGACGGACTCCAGATTCGGATCGAGGCGTCGGATCCTGCACCAGACCTTCACCTGGTGGTTGTCAAAATTAGGGTCCCCTTTTTGGGTCCTCATTATCGTACGGCACCTAATATTTAGGGTACCCAAAAAGGGACCCTTTTTTGCATCCACCTGCAAAGCCTCACAAGGGACCCTAACTTTGACAACGACCCAACCTCCTGCTCGTTTCCCCGCAGCTGCTGGTACTGCTTCAGCACGTAGAGTCTCCGGTTGTTGAAGCTCGAGATGCCTGCAGACGTCTCCACGCACCTTTTTCTGAACTTCGAACCCTGGCAAAAATTTATGCTTTTAGCTGTTTCTTAGGGATTGTAAAAATTAATAATTGTAATTTTAGCTGTCTCTTAGGGATTATAATAACCAAAACGTAATTTCTTTTAGCTGTTTCTTAGGGATTATACTAACCAAAAACTAACAACTATTTCTAAGTACCCCTCAGGGCACTCCAAGACCAGGAAGTCGGCGGAGAGGGTGATTTTTCCAGTCCAAAGGCCGACCAGTAGCTCGAAGAAGGTCTTCCCATCCGAAAACTTCTCTCCACCTGGGTTCTTGGAGGGAGCTTGGTATAAGTTAGTGAGGAACTTAGTTTAAGTTACCAGAACAGGGATCTATAGTAAAAATTATGGTCTCCTGATTGTCTACTGTCAAGAACCCAGCCACAAGAGCTCTGGGTGAAGTTCAGCTCATCGACTGGAACCTGCCGAATCGACGGCCCCGCCGCCAGTCCCTGAACTGACTCCTTCATCTCGGCGAGCTTCTCAAACTGCGGCTCAGCTGTGATGCGCGTGTCAGGAGAGAAAGGCGACTGAAAGAGCACCCTCATGCCCGCTCGCATGGCTTCTGAAGCAGGGGGCATCGGCATCAAGTGGCTCGGTGGAGGATAGGGCGGCTCTTTGGGAACGAGCTTCTTCACTTTGCACGGCATTGGCTTCGGCTTCGGCCTCTGGGGCGGGGGCGCTTCCGGGGGCGTGGCGGCAGAAATCTGCGGGGCGGAACTTGGCCGAGGGCGAGGAGGGGCCTTCTGCTTAGGCGTAGGTGCCAGGTAGCAGCCGCCCCTGGCATCTTCCGGTGCTACCACGGCTTCACTCGCTGAGGCGGAGCTCCTTGGAGCTTTGTTCCTGCGCGACTGGCTCTGGCTGGCCGTGAACGCCATCTGGCGAGCTCTTTCGGCCTTCAGGCGCTCGATCTTCTCTGCACACCGGCGCTCGTCCTCTTCACAAATCACCACCTCCTCGAACTGGGAGCTTGCCGAACATAGGGGACCCTAAGAAAGTACCCTATATAATAGGATCCTCATTATAACGATCCCAAATAAGGTACCCCCCTGTTTTTCGGTCACTCCTCGAACTCCTCATCTTCCTCCAGGAACTTTTTTGGGAGGGCGGCGGCCGCCTGCTTCTTGCCCGGGCGTTCGACGGAATTTACCAGATCTCTCAGCATCGACAGCTGCTCACCTGGGTTCTTGTTAAGGGACTTAATATATATATATATATATATATATATATATATACGTATACATATGTATCTATATATATATATATATGTTACAATAATAGGGATCTATAGTACATAATATGGTGTCCTTAGAAAAGGTAACTTAAAATAAACCCCTTAACAAGAATCCAGTCACTGTGGTAATGCGCGAAGAGACCCCTCAGATTTTCCACCACATCCGCCATGTCCTCTCGCTTGCGCTTGCCTGTCGGCTGCCCGGCGAGGCACCTCGAGGGGTCCCAGGAGAGCCCAATACCCCTTAATTAAGGGATACCTAGGGTTCCTTTAAGGGATCTATAAGGGATCTATAGGGTTTAGGGTTTAGGGCTCCGATACCCCTTAATTAAGGAATATGGCTTAAATCATAAGGGGCTTCATATGATGATTTAAGCCATATTCCTTAATTGAGGGGTATTGGGCTCTCTGGGGTTAATCAAGGCGTCAGTGTTATCATAGGGACCTAGAAAGGGAATCCTAATCTGTCGGCCTTAAAATAAACCTAACTCACAGAACTGAAAGAAAAGGAATCCTCATTTATGCAATTCTCCACCTTTCTCCTTTCTTCCGTCGTGCCACCGTCACGATCTGCTGCAAAGAAGCATCTTGGGTCTCCTGCGGATGTCGCCGAGGGGCTGGTCATCCCAATGTAAAAAATACTACATAGCACGATCCTTATTACAGAACCTTGATTACGCGGAACGCCGGACAATCCGCAAAAAACGATATGATCATCGCCTAGGAGGACTTCTGACCCTCCACCACCTAAAACCAAAAACGTAAACCCTAAACCCTGCCCAAAAGCCCCAAACCCTATACCCAAAAAACCAGCCCCGAAACCCCCTGAATACTGAATCCTCTTGGCATCCTAAACCTAAAACCTAAACCCTGAACCCTAAACCTAAACCCTTTTCAGCATGAAACCTAAACCCTAAATCCTAAACCCTTTTGCAACTGGCTTGCAACGTCACGCCACCCTAAACCCCTAAACAACCTGATCTTCCCTAGCCTTTTTACACCTGGACTACGCATATGCCAGGAACTGAGGCGCCGACTCTTCCCTAGCCTAAACCCTGAACCCTTCTAGAACCTTCGAGCAACCCCGCGAAGAGCGCCCCTCTCCTGGCCCTTCACGCAGGCTGAGGCGCTGAGAGCCACCAGGGCTGCTCTTATCCTGGTCTCTTGATCAGCGGGTTTAGGGTCAAGGATTTAGGGGTTTAGGGGTTTAGAGGTTTAGGGTCTAGGGTTTAGGGTTTAGGGGTTTAGGGTTTAGGGGTTTAAGGTTTAGGGCTTAGGGTTTAGAGTTTAGGGTGCTTAACTTAAGCTACTATCATAAATAACCACCACAGCAGGGATTCATGTTCAGGAGCTTCATTAGCAGCTTCATTTAACTTACCAGAATAGGAACCTATGGTAAATCATGGCTTCCTTACTATGGTAACTTAGTTCGATTATTATCTAGAGCCCACATGGCTTCCTTACCATGGTAACTTAATTCAAAATCCTTCGCAAGGGCCCAGCATCCGATGCTCCACCGTCCGACCCACCCCGAGGGCCATGAGCTGCTTGCCGTCGCAGTCAACGGAGACCTGGCAAACACCAACCATTCGAAGGAAGAAGTCCCAAAAGACGTAAATCCAAAACCCCCAAACCCCAAACCCTTTTTCAGCGTAAGCTTGGATGGTGTGCCAGAAACCTTTTTGCAGCGGGCTTGCTTCGACCCCAAACCCTAAACCCGAAACGAGAGGCAGGATCGGGGCTCAGGTTGTTCCCAACATTTTGTGGCTCCCAAGACTCCCAAGACCCCCTGCCTAGAACAAAGCCCTTCCCTGAAGCTGGAACCCTAAACCCTGCTAAACCAATAACTCTATATATAATCTACTTGGAGGCCCTTTTGACTTAGTAAGTAGGGTTAGTAAGGTGGGTTATGGGGATTATAATAGGGTTTCTAGGGGATACTAAATAGACTTACTAAGTCAACAGGGCCTGCAAGTAATCTATAGCCCTTTCTGCATCCAGGCCTCCTGAGGGCGTTGCCGGGTAATGCTTGGCACCATGTATCGGAAACCTGAAACCCCTACCCCTAAACCAAGCCCTTAACAGTCACCTCTACACATGGGAGTTGCCGAACATAGGGGACCCTAATATAGCAACCCCAACTAGTAAGATCCTTTTTATACATAAGGTACCCCTAATTTTCGGAAACCCTGAACCCTAGACCGTTTGTGATAATAGAACCCTTATAGATTATAGACCCCTTTAGGGAACCCCTAAAGAATCCCTTTAAAGGTACCCCGAATGGAAACTCCCACCTGGTGGAGGAAGACTCCGGGCCAGGACGAGGTGTAGCTGCAGGCGGCCTGTACGGCGTCCCGCAAGCCACCGTAGTCCACGTCATCTTCCTAGGCTCTTGTACAGGCACGGGCTTAGGGTTGTTTTTTAGGGTTTAACCTCTTATAAAGGCAAGTGCGACCATGCAGAGGAATCCATATGAAAGACATCCACATCTTGTTACTGATTTCTGTCTTTACTGCTTTATTTCTTTATGATTGTAGCTCTTGAGACATGTGAGCATTCAGCTGACTTTGTCTGTCTATATGTTTGTCTAGATTCTAGACATGCTACCTGTTTGTTCATATATCCAAAATACCTGCAGCGGACGGACGGACGTACGTGCGTACATACGTAAATACATACATACCTACATACACAGCTACCTATCTATCTACCTACCTACCGGTCTATCTAGCTACCTAGCGATGAAACTACCTATCTACATCTATGAGCAAATGTAGGTGCAAGTTCCTGTTTCTTCATACTTGTACATGCATGCATGTAGGCATATGTGCTAGTTGCAAAAATACAAGTCATTTCAATGTAATACAATATAGCATAATCTAATATAATATAGTATAATATACAATTGATTGTACATATATATATATGTGTGTGTGTATACATATAGACACATTATCCCTTCATGTGTTTGCTTGTGTTGTAGGAATATCTAAGTATGCATTGCTCGATCCTGCTATGCTCAACATGAACCCAGTTTCATGGGCGACGGTCTGCTGGAAGGCCTTTGACCACTGCCTGGCGCAAACCCTAGACGTCCCTAAAACCTTATCCCTAAACCCTGAAAAATCTCAGTGCCTGACCCCTAAACCCTTATCCATAAACCCGAAACCATCCCAGTCCATAACCCTTAAACTTAAGCCCTTAGAGATTAATCCTCAGGGGCTGAATACCCTAGCCCCTAAAAAATTTTAACCTTTTCAGCCATGGGAGGAAAAAAACCCGAAAGGTTGAAGGTTCCCTGCTCAGCAAACCCTAAACCCTAAACCCCAAACCCCAACCACTTAAAGCCTTATCCCTAGACACGACCTGGCGCAGGCGAAAGAGGACTTGAAAGGCTCCTCGTTGCAGTGCACGACCAGCAGCAGCCTGGGCGAGCCCCTGGGGAACCCCTTAAAGGAACCCTTCGAGGAAGCCTTCAAGGAGCCCTTAAAGGAACCCTACCCTTAAAAGAACCCTCAAAGGAGCCCTTAAAGGAATCCTGAAAGGAACCCCGAAGGGGGTTTCGGGTTCAGGGCTTGGGGGCTTTTCTTCCCTCCTACACAAGGACGAGGCCCGCCTGGCAGGGTCGCTTGGGACTTTTGGGGTTTCAGGGCTTAGGGTTTAGCGGTCTGAAGGAACCGGCGGTTCAGCTTCTTGGTTCAAACAGGGTCTCAATGGGTTCTGCCCTCATTGGATCCCCAGAAACCCTTTTTTTGCTAGTGGCCTGAAGTCTAGCCGAAACCCTAAACCCAAAACCAGATACTGATTTGGAGAACGCGAGCCACCCAGAAGGTGTCCAGAAGACGTGCTGCTCCAGCTGCTGATGAAGTGACGGCTGCGAACCTTCGCCTGGGCCGGTTGAAATAGGAACTCAAGTAGCCAACCACAGACATGGTTTAACTGTTTGGGGGTTTGAGGGTTAAGGGCGAGTGCTCGAACTCCGAGTTCATGAGGTTGCTGACAACTACTCCCAGAAAATAAACGAACGTGGGCAACAAGAGGCGCTAGTAGGACATTAGTTTTCGCCTGCTTCGCGGGCCGGACGAGCGAATAACTGCGTTTCAGGCACTGAGTGTGAAGACCTTCGCCCAAGAAGGGCGAAATTATAGATTACAACCCCTTTCGGCTGGGGCAGAAGAAGAAGAAGAGGAGATGCTGCGAACTATATCCCCCAGACCTTCCCAGTCCGATGTCAGGGCTTAGGCTTTCGGGTTTAGTGAACCCTAAACCTAAACCTAAAGTGTTTAGGCGCTAAAAGCCAGGGGCTGAGAAGACGAAAACAAGGAGGCAGATACTCCATGCAAGGGCAGATAAGAAGTCCGGCGGAAAGGAGGGCAAAACATTCAAAGAAGCAAGGCAGGCGAGGCAAAAGCACCTAAGGAAAAAAAACCAAGGGCAAGCAAACCCTAAACCCTAAACCCTAAGTAAAGGCAAGGAGAGGCCAGGGCTAGGGGCCAAAAGGCGCCAAACACACGTACAGATGGGCAGTGCCAAGTACCGTACTATAGGGGCCTTCATCATTGGAATAGGGTTTTGGGGTGTATGATACTATCATCATGATAAAGAAGCCCCAAAATAGTATAGGTAGTTATTTCAGCCTCTATATTAGTTCTTTGGAACTTGGGGTCGCGCTCAAAATCTTCCCTGGTCATGATCGCCACACCTCTGCAAGCCCGATTGCTCACCGCTTCATGATGATTATAGAATGAGTATAGGGGCCTAAATATCTACCTATGCTGTTTTGGGGGTTCCTTATCATAGATGTCATCTTGTCCCTGTCTTCTGAGACTAGTGGTCTCGAGATGGGAAAAGGGTCCAAAGTACGCGTCGAGATGCCTCCGCCTCCGGGAGCAGAAGAGCTGCGATCATGGGCTGCGGCTCCTTCTTGCGGAGAGCCGCGTGCCGAGCTTGCACCCGGATCACGGCGTTCTCTGCTCAGAATGTTGAGTTCAGAAGTCTGGGCTTTAGGAGGCTTTGCAGGTGTCCGCGGCGGCTCCGCTATCGGGACAGCCACCGGCTTAGCCACGCGCTGCACTCGCTGAAGGCTGGAGAAGCCGGCGACGACGCATCCGACACCTGTCTGTGGCTTGTCGGGTGGCTTCGCCAAGGCCTGCAAGGACAGGTGGGAACCGGGCTTCCCCTCGCAACGGCCGCCGTGCTGTGAACCTTTAGTCTTGCCACGAACATGTACGAAGTGACATTGCTTGCAGCAGTAGCCGCCAAAGGTGGCACATTCATGCACTCTGAAGGGGCAGCCCGGGGTAGCGCAGCGCTGCAGGCGGCGTGTCTGCGGTGAGTTGAGCAGGTTCAGTTGAGACACGAAGTCATCAACATCAAGTGCCCCGCTGTCATAATGGACCGCGACCAGTTGCTCAACCCAGGGCTCCTCCGATTCGAACCGCTCCTGTACTGACTTGACCTTGTCTTCCAAGGTATCTAAGCCGCCGGTCCAAATCCCGAGCGCCATGCAAATCGAGCCATCCGAGAGGAACCAACTCAGCAACTACAGTATGTGCCAGGAAAGCCTCCATAACGGCTTAGGCTTAGGATGCTGATTTCGAGTTCTATGGTGAAAGGGTGAAAAGTTTAGGATGCTGAAACCATGTAACGTATGTTACCTGGTCATCGGCTATCGGGTTTGGTGTCTTGTGGCTGCCACTGCACTTCGGGTTTCAAGCTTCAGGCTGCATGCCCACTACACTCCCACCCTACATGAGCCTCTGCAGAAACGCTGCGCCTGGCATGAACAGATACCCCTAGGTCCATCACAAAGGGCTCTTCACAATTCAAATTTTCAGATCTGAGCCTAGGCTGCATATGGGTTGCCGGGTGGTTTATGAGCGTAATATGCACCAGGACCGCGCAGTTCTCTGGAAAGCACCCTGATGCACACCTCTGCAAGGCTTCCATGTCACGCTCTTCGGCAGCTGTTCGCAACTCCTCCCGAATTTGTGACGATGCAACTTTCCATGTGAACGTGTCGATCGCCGAAGTGTCCACAAACCAAAAACATAATCATGCAGACCTCGTCGGAGAGAGCACTATCAATGATAACAACTGCAGCTCCTCATGATAATATTACTGTACTACTATTACTATTACTATTACTATTACTATTACTATTACTATTACTATTACTATTACTATTACTATTACTATTACTATTACTATTACTATTACTATTACTATTACCATTACTATTACTATTACTATTACTATTACTATTACCATTACTACTACTATTACTCTTACTATTGCCAGCCGGTTGGCGTTCAAAAGTGACTCAAACGCTTGCGACCACACAGAGGAGTCGAAGAGACTCCGACCCTTAGAATGAGCTACGGTACAGTGTAAGTTCACATAGCTTAATAATAATAGTAATAATAGTAACAACAATAATAATTGTAATAGTAGCACAACCTGGTATAGCAAAGCAGAGTATAGTATGGTCGAGTTGGGCTCCTTGCGTACGTCCTCCGGGCTGGGTTTGGCCGTGCGGACGATCTGCTTCTCAGAGACATGGATGGAAAGGCGCTCCTACGAGACGAGTACCATGCCAGGCTTTTCAGGAGGGTACATGGAGGATCATGGGACTTAAGGCTATAAGTAGCTGAATTTGAGCGATAAGACTTTGCAAGTACTAATAGTTAACTTGTTTGCAACCTTACCTAACAAGTCCCATCATGCTCCTTCATAAATTTTTCGGGGCAGAAGGGTTGTATATGACGTTTGGGTTGTTGTTTCTCCTTACTTATAGCTGGCCATGATTCAGCAAGTACTCTCTCATACTTTCGCAAAACAGCTATACTACAACCTGCAAATATACTACGAATGTACACCACTAGCATTGCACACAGCCTTCTCTTGCTCAAAGGTACTGCTGTTCAGCTATCAACAACGAAGCTGTTGCGCAGTGGAACTGTTGTAGTTTACTCTGCAATTCTACAAGACTGCTTCATAACATGCTTGCAATGATACCATGATATGCGCCGACATGATTGCATGACTACGTGGAGGCATGAGGATGAGTTGACACCTCTGGCGCTGCTACATCTGTTGAAACTGGATTGTTGAGTGCTCACCCCTTGGTCTCCTTCATGGCATTAGTTACCCTGTCTCTCCTGCAAAACCGGGGTTAGTGGTTGCGTCAAAAGATTGAAGAAAAGTCAAGTCCTCTCAGACATGAAAAACCGGACTGCACGCACGAGCCCTGAGGACTGAGCTCGAGCGAAACCCCTGACACATGGACAGAGCACACTTTCTGCAAAGACTACTGCTACTACTACGACGACGACTACTACTACTGCTAGTACTATTACGATTACTATTACTATTACTATTACTAACTACTATTACTATTACCAGGCATGCGCCTTGAGCCTACAATTTTCTCCGCGAAGGTACTCGCAACCCCTTAAGGCCCCAACCCTTTGCTGCAAACCCTGAACCCCTTTGAGGTACCTTGTAGATCTGATAAAGATCTTTTAACGATCTTATAGGAACCCATGTAGATCCCTGAAAAGGCCGCACCAAACCACAGGAGCTGGAGCACCTGCCTGGAAGTGAAACTCTGCAGTTCACGAAGTACACCAAATCCTAAACCCCTGCAAACCCCCAAAAACCCTCCCAAACCTCGAACCCTACGTAAATTTAAACCCGAAACCCCGAAACCCCGAACCTTAAACCCAAAACCCTTTTTAAGCACGGACTTGCAGTGTATGCCGGCAGCGAAGCTCTACGGCAGAGCCTTTCTCAGTCACCTTAGGAGACCTCGGGGATGCACATAGCAACGCAAGACCAAAACCCTAAACCCTGAACCCTAAAAACACCTACATGTGTGCCGACGGCGTGCCTATCGCGAGGGTAAGGTGGCTGTGGGACACGCGTACTAATATTGTACTACATGATACGAAACTCTACTACACCGAACCAAACTCTACTACACCATACCAGACTAGCCGATACTATACTACACCATACTATACCATACTGTGCCATACCTATACTATACTATACTAGACGAGGCTCGACGCGACTAGACTAGACTGGACTATACTCTGCTGAATCATATTAGACCAAACTGTGTGTTGAACTACTTCGTTCTACAATATTATACCATACGAGGCTTGACTCTACTATACTATATTATAACCTATTATTCTGTACTTTGTTATACTATACCACTCCCTGGGCGACGGCATGTAAACGATAATCACAGGTTTGGGGTTTGAGATTTAGGGATTCTGCCTCAGGGTTTCGATTCCAGGTTGGGGTCTTCAGGGTTCAGGGTTGCGGTGAGCGTAGGGCTTATGCTGTGAATCCGGAAACGATAACAGTCAACGGGTCAAGGAAGTGCACATGGAGAGAATCGGAGACAGCATGGTCCGAATTTGACTCCTGATTGGCTTCGTCACGTTCACATTGGTAACTATGTATATCTAAAGTAGCATCGGAAACAGCACTTGCCGAAGCTCCATAGCTCTTGTAAAACCTCTCAATCCTTACAAACCCATGCCCCCAAGTCTAACCCATCAACATCCTTCGATTGGAACATCTGCTGCAAACTACCGTTTCTTCAGAAATGCTAGCCTCTGGGACACCCCCAACGAACCCGACTAAAGCCTACCTTTTCTGAAGAAGCCATGCAAAAATCCCATTGAAATCTTCAAGAGACCGGGCTCCTGGGAAGCTGCAGACCTCGCGGGAAAGGGGGGCATGCTTCGGCCGTGGCTTTGGGAGTCTTTTTTTATTTAGGGTCAGGGTTTAAGGTTTAGGCCCAGACTTCACAATTGCTCCTGTGCTTCCTGTGCAAACAGTCAACCGGAAGGGTGGCAACATGACAACAAAATTCAAAAGGCTGCTCAAGTGGCGAACAGAAGCCTAAACCGAAAGGCCTTAATAATTAGAACAGGGTTTTAGGGGTTCCTTATTGGAGTAATAGTATAGAATACCACCAAACCCTCTTCTAATTACTAAGGCCCTACAGTAATAAGAGCAGGATACAGGCTGCATCTGATGTCAAGGTTGCAGCTCGTGATGTTGGACACGTTGGTGAACAGTTGCTATCACAGGCGTCGCAAAAACAACGCCCAATCCCTTGCAGGAAAGGGGCTGCACCATGCGCCGCGACCGCGAGGAAGATGACTTTGGGGTCGCATCGTCTCTGCTTTCGACAGTGTCACTTCCTAAGATGTGGGTGCAAGGATGCCTACTAGCCTCCTTCGGGCCAAGACCCTCAGAACCCTAAACCCCAAGTCGCGCCTGGCTGAAATGTTGGGATTCACCCGTCTCCGTCGGTGCACTAGTAAGCTCCTACTAGCATGCTTGGAGGATCATGGGACTTAGTAAGTAGGGTTATAAGTGCCTTAATTGGGGTTATAAGTACTTATAGTTACCTTATCTATAACCCCACCTACTAAGTCCCATGATCCTTTAAGTGCCCTTTCGAAGGATTGAATCCAAGAACTGCAGCAAGGCCTGGTTTTTCGAAGCCTTTGAGCAGCCAAGCCTCAAAACCCTAAACCTAAACCGTAAACCTTTTTGTAAACACCCTAAACCTTAAACCTTTTTCCAAACCCTAAACCGTAAACCTAAACCATAAACCCTGAACCCTTTGGCTATGCAAAAACACACTGGTCAAGCTTAAGACGAAACCCGAGATCTGCCCCACGACAACAAAACCAGAGTTCAGGGCTTGCGGCGCTAGGGTTTAGGACTTAGAACATTTTTCTTAATTGCTATTTTTGTTAATTACTATTTTTGTTACTACAATTTTCGTAATTACAATTTTTGTTGAAGCTTTTACTGTTGTTGCTACCCTTATTATGACTACTCTTATCTGGGCATTGGTGGACGAAGGAGTCTTGGCTTCGGGGCCTCAGGGCCTACGCTCTCACAGCTCGGACAAGATGAGGTCTCACAGTGTGCTGCCGCATGTTCGGGTGGTTGTAATATGATAAACATAACATGATATAACGTCATATAATATAGTAGAATATGTCATGTAATATAATATGAAATAATACACAGTAACATATAATGTAACACATAACAATATAAAAAACGTATAGTATAGTAGAATATCGTTGCTTTTTACATATGTATATACATATACATATACATATACATACACATATACATATACATATACATGTACATGTACATGTACATATACATATATTCAAAAACCGAGCTTGCAGACAAGAGGGAAACAACCAGAATCTCTAATGTCACCAATGCGAAACAAACTTCCAAGATGTGCAGACTCAGGCGTTGCTGTCCTCACTTAGTTTACTCTGCAAAACAATCCCATTCTCTCTCACAGTTGTGGTGCTTCCAAAAGCATCGTTGCATCAGACACACGATGTCGCATGCCTGAGTTTGGGCATTCACGTGCGTTCTTGAAGCTGTACAGTTTGCCGACGCAATCTGGGCAAAGAAAGGAACACCCTCGTCGGGCTGTAAAGGCGCGAAAGCAGGAATCGAACACAAACCTACGCCGACTTGCATGGGGGTCGATAGACCAACGGCCGCAAATTGCTTCGTGCCGTCACGCCTACCGTTGCAGCTCTTCCATCCGGCGCCACTTCCCGTGTGGCAGCAGGCCCAAGAGACTCGGCTTCAGCCAGAAATTTCTCCTGGATGGCGCTTCTTAAAGCTTCCGTGCCCGGCTCTTGTGGGATGAAGGAGACGGACCGAGCGGTAATGTCGAGGACAATGTAGTAGAAAGCCCACAGTGATAGCCCCAGGGTCACGAATTCTTCTTTGGAGCCTCTGGCCAGACCCCCCATCTGGAAGATCGTGGCCGCATCGAAGCTCAGTGGTAGCGCTTCCCCTCCCCCGAGACGCCGGGCAACCAGAACGTCAAGTTTGCAGACCTTCCGGCCTCGATCAGCCGGGCTGCAAAACCGTAGACTTATGGCAAAGTAACGTGTGGGGTCCCAGGGTCCAGGGAAATCTTCCGAACTGCCACTTCGTACCACTCTTTCTCGACCAGGGCTGCCGGGCCCACCACCGCGGTCTTGTCGTAGTTCACAGCAGCATCATCGAGATAAACCCGGCCCTGGTTCTCCCCCAGCTGTCCGGACCAGTTTCTCCACGCCGCCTTGACCTCGCAGCTTTTGGATCATCGGTGGTTGCAGTTCTTTTCTATCTTGCCGACAGTCTGCCATAGAGGAAATTGGGCTTCGCCGGAAAGGCAAAATCGTCCGACCGGAAGGCAGGCCGAAGATACCCTGAATGCCATGCTGGCAACCCATCTTTTTCCTCCTCAGCCATGATGCTATAAGAGACTGTTTGGACAGTCACGTTGCCAGCATGGATGTCCCCTTCAACTAAAGGGCCCCAGTAATACATAGGAACACCACCGGGGTTGCATCGATTGCAAGAGTTGCACTGCGTTTCCTGGTGAGCAGCTTCCTTCAGGAAATTGTTCTGGCAAAAGGCGAGGGAGGAAGATCCCGTGTCAACCAAGAGCCGGCAGTGCCGGCAGCAAGCCACCGTCAGAACTAACTGGGGAAACTGGCATCAACAACCGGACACCTAAAGACCAAAGGCGCGCTTCCGCAGGCATAGAAAGCTCCACCGGCATGCGGCATTGGTGCAGCTAGGACACTCCTAGGTCTGCTAGGTGCCAGAAAAGCAGCTTGTGGCTCTGTCCACATGTCGTTGCTCCGGTTGCTTACGGGCAGTAAGGACTCCACCTTCTGCTTACCGCCGGCCGCGGCTTTCTGAACTTGGGCAAGCTCTTCGCAGCCTTGAAGAACAAGTAGCATCCAACCCGCATAAGAATGTAGCAAGCACTGTGCGACTGCTCTGATTTGGGTGAGCTCGCGGATGATCTGCCAATAATGTTCATGTGTAGGCTTTGCCGCTCGAGTCAATGCAGCGCTTGAGCCGTAGCGCTTTGCAGTAGGGATCAGTAGGGCTTGAGGTTGTGGAAGCCACCAAGCTGATTTTTATGATTCTGCAGCGATGTACTTGCGGCAATCTTGCTTGAGACAGCAGTTCAGATGTGCTGACCATGAGTGACTGCCCAAGATGCAAGCAACCTAAATCGTCGGTCTCCAAGGACCTTTGCAAAAGACCGTCAACCATAAATCTTTAAAACACGTTTGTAGAATCTCCCGTGTGAAAACCCCAGTGCAGATGTGTGGCGGTCCACCCGAGCACGGCCCCTTCGACTCTTGACCGGCTGGACCCTCGGTGGCATGGAGTTCCCTAAGACGGGTTTTGGGCCTTTTTTTGTTCGCCCCCTGCGTTGCTATGTGTTTAGGATTTAGGGCACGGTTCCTATGGAAGCAACGGCGATGGTCATGATGCCAATGGCACTGCTGATGCTGATAATTACGGTGGGGACGATGATCATCGTGACAACGTGACGAAGATAGCACGAACCTTCTGATGCTGAACAGGCAATATTCCCAAACACTCACGTTTGACCGCTGGAGATAACTTGGCATGAATCTACACTTTAAGATCACTCCGTGAATTTCGAATACTACGATTCCTGGATTAAGGATGGCGGGCTTCACACTTCTGACTGACGCTGTACTACGGCTGCTACTTCTGCTACGACTACTTGTAGGCGCGGCTAGTGTTGCTACAGGCGCTCTCCATCTGCGTCAGGCTGTAAACGCTCTTGTTCCTATGCCTCCACCTGAACTAGCAGTCGTACTGCCATGACTTGTCTACAAGGTAGCGAATGTCTCTACACATGCTGTTGTGTCAGTTTCGTCTAGAACATTCTAGATAGTAAGACACCTACACAAATACACAAAAACAAAGGGTGTTCATCAAGGCGATCACCGCTTGCACCTGGCATCCGCAACTCCACCGTCTTATGACATGTCACTCAATCTGCCTAGCGTCGCCATCGTTACAATCATGAACCTGGCAGAAACGAAACGAAAGTGACAAGCTGCTCGGGCGGCTGCTCCGCCACCTCTGCGACCGCTTCCTCAGGCAGCAGAACCTCGCATCGGAACGATTGCCATCAAGGCCTGCGGGCTACTGTGGCCTAACATGTGGGAGTTTCCGAAAATGGGGGCCCCTAATATAGTACCCTCAATAGTAAGATCCGTAGTATATGGACCCCAAAATACGGTATCCCTAATTTGCGGAAACTCCCATGTGATGCGCTCACCACTATCTCTGCGATCGGACCCGACCGAAAGGCATCCACAATTGCGAGAGGTCTGCAGGGAACTAGTTAGTTACCGTCGGCACCACGGCGCCTCGGCAATCCCAACCGTGGAGCAATCATCCATCGAGTCACGGACCCGATGTCAAGACCCAACCCTGAGCCCTCAAACCTTGGCCAAAATCTCCGAACTTTTTCCTCCCCCACCGACACGAATCAATTCGGGCAAAGCCGCTTTGGCGCGCATGAACAGCCCGTGGTTGGGAGGACATGTGAAATACTGCTTGTCCTTCACCTCGGCTAGTCGTTGCGGGCTCAAGCCCCTTCGGAATTTGCCGCCGCACCTTCAATACACAAAAACACGCATCTGAACATGTATGAATTGAGGTCTAGGCCAGGTATAGAGATGAATATCTGTAGTACATGCACCCTGGAAAAAGCAAACGCAAACAGTTTCGCCTGCATACAGAAACAACTCGCCAGGCGCTTGCATATGTAAACACGCGCGTTCTTCATCACGCAATCTTTCGGAGAGTCAGGAGTTTGCCTCTGCTGTGACGTCTCACGAACAAGGCCTCGATCCTTACCAGAGGACCGAACCGAGCCCTAAAAACCCTACCCGTACCCCCTCCAACCCAAAATTCTTCAATCCTACAATCCTGAAAACTCAAAATCAAAGAACTAAACTAAACATATCTAACTAGCAGAGTGGTTCATATTTTGGATGTGCCGGGGTCCCTGTACTACAGTACACCGACAGGAGCACAGGTACGATACAGAGGGGTGCACATGGTCAGGGTGACATATGTGCACCAAACGTAGTGCGACATTCTCAGCATTTGACATGAATGCACCAAATTTGGCATTACATGTTCCACTGCACTGTGCCATATGCAACATTGTACCGCTCTGCTCGTGTGTCGGTGTACCGCACCAGAACTAGCATGGCTTGAACCCCAGCCCGTTTCGCAAAGCAATATCATGCTGTGTCATGGTCATGTCATGCTGAATTGGGGAAGGTGTTACGGCTGGAACGTTACTATGGTACACAAGGTGCGGAAATCGCACATGTGAAGTGCCCTGTATCTACCGTCGAAAAGCGCCCCTCATGCACCCTGGAAGCGTCGCAAGCGTACTATTGAACCGTCCTATATGCACCGTCCCTTGCGTATCACGGAAATGCCCCAAAAGTAACATCCAAGTGCGCGTACATGCCATGTAGCTTCCGGTCACTCACTGACCGTACCAAATACGTACATGACCCGTACAAACCATCCGTTTCATTGCTCTTGACGGCTGATGAAACCCAACCCTGAAACTCTGCGGCATTGAACCTCCAGAACTAACCGAGCGCAGGCAAACTGATGTTTGCTGAAGGCGAAGGGCTCGTCCGTCGTTCTTGCCACGTGGCTTGTCCAACATGATTCCTCGCATCCAAGACAAGGTTGGGTTTAGGGCAAAGCTTGGACTAGGGTTTGAATGCCGCATCATGCCGCCATGGACCTGCATGGGAAGCCTTCTTCCAGCACATTCTCGGTGTGTCTGCACGCCTACTCCTTACCATGCAACCTGAATTCCAAACCCTAAGCCTTTGGCGGGCTTCTCAACACCTTTTGCAGGCAATTCTCCGACCCAGTCATGGCCATCGGAAAACTCGGTCGGACCCGCGAACTTCACGACACCCGCCAAGCCGTAGTCGCTGCAGTAGACCACGCGCTGTCCAACCTCACGGTTGTCCAGCATTAAAATGATGCCAACCAGACATAGCACCAAAGCTTCGGGTTTTTGCAGCACTTTTGAATGTTGCAGCACTACATGATACTGAGGATGAAGATGAGAAGCTACAAACAAGGTTTGGGTCAATGCAAACCATTGTACAAGTCGGCACACGGAAGACACTCGAACTTGCGCAGAAGACAATGTACAAGAACTCTTTCCGCCTCCGGCACCCCTTCGTCCAACCAAGGGCTCACACACCTTGGCAAAACTGCAGCAACGAGCTTCCGTTCCAGTAGCTGAAAATAATTTGAAAAGAATGTTTACGTTTATCCAGCTGAACTGCTACCACTACCATTACCGTTGCCACGACCACAACAACGACCACCACCACAACAACAACAACCACAACCATAATCACGACCACAACTGCCACCACTAGCACTTCCATTTCAAGCACCACCTGCTGCTCCTGCTCCTGCTGCTCCTGCTGCCCTGGTGCTGGTCCTGCTGCTGCCACTGCTCCGGCTGCCGCTACCACGCTACTACGGCTGCTGCTACTTCTAGTGCTGCCACTACTGCTACTGCTACTGCCTTGGCCTTCGTCGCAAAAGACCACTACCACTGATACTACCAGTATTGCTAGTTGCAACGGTCACCATTACCACTCCCTCGACGACGACGACAAGAAGTACGGCCACCACAAATGGCAAGCCACAAATGATGTGCATAAACACGTACAACCAACCACAGCATGAAAAAGTTGAAATGAAACAACATAGGTGTCGCACGCCCCTACTCTGCCGATGCTTTGCTGGGGCCACGGCTCGACAAACGGAGATGCTTGCGATTTGGCCATGCACCCAGCTTTTCGTATCAATATGACTTCTGCTGGCAACTAAAACATACTTCAACTGAGCTTGTATGAAAGCGTGTCTCATGATTCAGTAGCTGGGTGGTACGCTAAATTTTCGATCCCTGAGCAGTTCTCCATCGTGCCCGTAGGACTGAGCCCCAATGCAACTCCCAGCGAACGCATGCAGGCACTGGCATGTCATGTGAGAACAGACATTTGTCCCATGCACACACAGCTGCGACGGCGGTTGGCCGTTGCAGCTCCGAGGCCAAAAGGTTTTTAAAATGCCGTTCATGAAACGATTTTTTTTCATCAGCCTCGTGATAAATGTTTGCAGGTGCAGAGAGGGTCCGGGGACGTGCGGGAGGTAACTTTTTAGGAGGAAGAACGACCCTTTAACCCGCACACATACCCTCAGGTACTGTTGGGTCTACCCCGGGTCGGATATTAGACCCCAAACCCTGGGTCTAATATCCAAACCCTAGGGTCATGCAACAGGTCATTTTAGACCTTCACGCCTTGGCCTATGATCAGGTCTCTGTTGGGGCCGTTGTGGCTCGGCATTGTTTCAGTACGTTTCAGTTCCTGTTCCCGTTCTGGCCCGTGCGCTTTTGCGTGCTAGTCCCCTGCCGGCCTGGCTCCTCCCGGGTCCCAGTTATCGTCTCTGGTTCTGCTTCTGTCCGCTTCGGTTCCGCTGTGGTCTCCGCTCAGCTCTGGAAAGTCTCGGGTTCGTTGTTCTTTTCGGTTCCCAACCGGTTTCGGATCGGATACACCCCGGTTCCTTGTGGCGGTTGGGCTGTGGTTGTGTGGTGCTGGTTTCAGTTCGGATCTTGCTGCGGTCCAATTGAGTTGTTTTGAGTGCGGGGGCCCACTTCCGAGGTCAT